ACTACAAGGTAGCTTTGATAATCTATAATGATTATACCTTTCTGAAACCGGTAAAACTGACACCTATTGAGTTTTAGTTTTGATGCTAACCATATGTATTGGAATGCGTTAAATAATATACAGTGCTGTAAGTAAAAAATTACATTTTCTTTGGGTTTTTCGATAAAGTCACGTAGAACAAAAAAAATGTACAAAAAACTACGACGTTTCAATCGCAACACAAGCAATCGTCATCAGGAGAAAAACGAGGGGGAAAGCTGCTGAGGCAGGCTGTTTTAAAGGTTTTAAATGGGTGTAGCCCAAGGGTCATAAACGAAGTGGGTGGGGCTAGTGATGTTAAAGTGAGAAATTTGCATGTAAATGTAAAATCAGAGATTTGCATGTCAATGTAAGATCTCAGAGCCACCGACAACAAATTTAGTAAAATTATCCTGTTGTCAAACTTCCTAATTCTCTCTCTAAATTTCTCCTTGCTTGTCTGTTCCACACTTAACTTCTAATTTAACAATATTTGGAAGAACTTTAATCAACCAGGCTATGCGTTAACTGTGTGTTAACCGATCATCTGTGTTGCATTGCATTACATTTCTTCATTTTGCTAAATTTGCTTTCTCAAAGGAGGGAAATAATAAAATAATAAAAATAAAACATAATAAAATACAATTCTCACGACGTTTCGGTCACAACGCAAGCAGCCGTCCTCAGGTGAAGAACAGGTCTGTCGAAAAGACAGCGTCTGAATGAATAGGCTCTATCAGACGTTGTCTTTCCGACAGACCTGTTCTTCACCTGAGGACGGCTGGGTCTGTCGGAAAGACAGCGTCTGAATGAATAGGCTCATTCAGACGCTGTCTTTCCGACAGACCTGTACTTCACCTGAGGACGGCTGCTTGCGTTGTGGCCGGAAACGTCGTGAGAATTGTATTTTATGTTCTATTTTTATTATTTTATTATTTCCCGTCTACGTGACTTTACCGAAAGAACTAAGAAGTCACGAACGCTTTAAATCGAAATTTGCTTTCTCAAACTTTCGATTTTCTTGCTCGAAACCATTTTCTCTCCTACGGCCACTGTGGTCCGAAATTCCACACTGCTCCCTCCTTGTCCCCTCGTTTCTTCTGCTGGTCCCCTCGTTTATCCGCCTCCCCGGTCCTCTCTCTGCCCCGGCCCCTCCCCCCTCTCTCTATTTAAGGCCTGTTTGTCTTGGTGTGTGTTGGTGTGGGTTGCTTGTGTTGCAATCGAAACGTCGTATTCTATTATTATTTTATTTTCTACGTGACTTTACCGAAAGAACCAAAGAGTAATTCCTGCAGTCACGAAAGCTTCGAATCTGATTTGTGTCTTATTCGTTACTTTTTGCAGATGCGACTTCCCTTCGCGATTCACATTTCTCCACCATGTGGCAAAGAGCATGTGGCACGTCTATATAAAGCCCTTCTAAAGAGGATACTCGGGCATATACACATATTTTAGAGGATTATGTTTACACTGGAAACCCACAGGACCCTACGCGTTAATGTCACAGTTCAAATACAACGTGATGTTTATATATATGCAACACTTTATCCTTACACATTATTATCATTATAATACCCATAGTCCAACCGTCTTCAAATGTGCTCATGTATCATAGGCTCAGTTAAAAAAAAATTAACGATTCGAGGCAGAATCTCTTATGCATCCCTTAATTACACAAAGGACAGATTTCACCATTGTAAAACTCGACACCTTTAGAAGTCCCACAAGAAATAGCGGGTAAAAAAAATATATGCTGAACAAGTTGTTTTGTGCATTAAAAGTCAACTTTTCCTGTGCATGCATGCGTTAGCATAGTTTTTTCCCCCTGCTCTTGATTCTGATAACAAGAGGCAACAGCACCGCGTAATAGTGCCAGAAAATATTTACAGCCATGCACAGTGTTAAAGATGCTGTCTAGTCAGCTTTGGAGCATTTCCCATGTGCTGTTAAAATGAAACATGTTAATTTTTATCTACGAGTAAGAATTTACGAAGAATAAAACTTTTGAAGGACTGCTAAAAAAGATCTCGTAACATTACTTTTATTTTATTACTCAGCAAAGCCCGAGTCTCAAGATTTGTTTGCAAAATTATCTTGCTCTATCTAGGATGTTCTATCGAGGATGTGGGTTCGATGCCACCCCTGACGTCTGTATATTTGTAGTTCTCTTGGTCCTCCGGTTTTTCCCCTCCACAATGAGAAATATGCGACAAGAGTATTGGGCTGCTACGAATTTCCACACGATAAGCCACTTCGTTGAGCCATCATTTGTCGACAGGTCGCTTCTGAAAAAGAGATGTATAGCTCAGTGGGCCCTAACTTAGTAAGATAAATAAATACAAGTTTTGTTTAAATTGTTTAGTTTAGCAAAAACAGGGGTGTGCATGCAGCGATTTCACTCAGAATAGATCGACAGATTACAAATCGCGTTGTCCTGGCGAGGAGGCGTCTGATGCAGACCCATCCATTTGCGTTCCTTCGACTCTGCATTGAAAGTCTTAAAAGTAATTTATCACCAAATCCAGAATTTCTGAGTTTTCCCCAAAAAGTCAATGTGTGCCTTACAAACAAGGACTCATGCAAAGCCCTTCCACGCGACACACTCCGCGACTGTGCAATGCACTCGGATAACGCACCGTAAAACACGATCAAAACCAGTGCGTTCAAGAGTCTGGAGGTAACACATCCAAAGCCGGTCCCCGCTTGCATGAAAAATGCGGGCTTGAAACGGTGTTTTTTTTCACCCTGCCTCCGCACGTCATTGTAGCACCACCTGGCGTCCGTTCATCATCAATGCAACCCTGGCAGAGAGCGGCGTGCACCAAGGCACATTGCATTCTCAACGTCCTAAAAAATGGTTTACAGTGGATTCTAAAGTTATATAACGTTAGAATGTTACAGTGCAATTAGCCGGTCACATTAGGCAACCTTGCATTACGCAGTTATGCTGGGACGCACGTGGGTATTTTATTACAAAACTTAATGATTTTGAATAAATCCTAGGATGCTACGAGTAGCACGGTCATAAAATGATAAATTACAAACATTATACAAATTGTAACTTGTCTAGTTTCAGAACAGAACTGCTTCTCTTCAATTGCCATTACTGATGTGGTGCACTGCGTTCAAAGCATTGCTTTTCACAGTAGCGTACTCGACAATGAGTGTTGTGTAATTGAATTGGATCCTTCCACGACACCACGCGACACCACCGTAGATGGTTTATTTAATGGGGCGCGGACAACATCAGCTGCAGAACTTCCCACCTTTCGTCGGACAGAGCTGGAATTTAGACAAATTAAGTGTCGAACAAACTTTAGTGAGAGGGAAGGAGGTTTGTGTAGTCGTTCATTTTATCATGGGACCTCCCTTGCCAGTATCAAAATATAAGAATAGGTTTTACCCTTTTTGGCAATAAAACAGGTGTTAAGATGTTAAAAAGTCAAACTGAAACCTTTTGCAATGAATCATGTATACATTAACCACATATACCGGAACTTGTGGGGAGCATACAAACAAAACATATGCTCTGGTAGTATATGCATTGTCTTAATACTAAATGGTCCACACATGACAGGTTTCTTTAGAGCCTAGTCTCAAACAGTGTTAGACCCGAGGACGCCAAAAGGCGAACAGCACAAAGAAAATTAACTATCAGGACATTGAGAGCTCGGGGTGCAGACATGATTCTTTGCAATAGGTTTCAGTTTGGTGTTTTCACATGTTAACACCTGTTTTATTGCCAGAAAGGGTAAAACCTATTGTTATATCATGGATTTTATTTCGTTAGTATTTTTTATTTTACCAAGTAAGGCCCACTGAGCTATATAGCTATTTTTCATCAGTGACCTGGCCACATATGATAGCTCAACGAAGTGGCTTATCACGTGGAAATTTATATCAGCCAAACAATGGAAACGCATGTTTCCAAATGTGGAGGGAAACCCCAGAGAAAATCCACGCGACCACGGGGAGAACATGCAAACTCCAAATATTATAATGTTCAGAGGGGGGCCACTTTCGCCCGTAAGACATCAGTGTGAGGGCCGCCACACATTTGAAACCATTCAATTGTACAGCATGATGAGATGTTTACCCATTTGTGTACTGTCGAGGGCCGCACGTCAGGGGCCACACTCAAGGCCACCAGGAGCCACCAATGGCCCACGGTCCTTGCAATGAAGAACTCTGCCTCCGAGGCCCATTCGTGTTTTGTGATGCCGCATGCTGGGTTAAAAAGAGCACATCGGCCAAATGTGACCCACGAGCCATATTTTGAACAGTTCTGGCGTCCACTGCAGATATGCAGCTTGTCGAAATAGTACGTGTATAGTACACGTTCACTCATAGTGGTGTACTTTGTGTAAAATGTTTACAATAATCCCTTCCCCAACCTTCTCTGCGATTCAACTAATTGCCATGATTTGATTGTCGTGATTCGAATTGTTGACATTATTGTGAGCATAGCACCTCTGGTTGCGGCATGGCTCACATGACCCAATTGCATGCAACAGACGGTATGAGAAAAAAGGACGATTGTTCACACGCTCCATTACATGCACGTATCATGAGCATAACTGTTTTTTTTATCACTGAATCGACACATCGTTGCATGTGCAGTGATCAGACGATGCATTGCCTTGAAACGTTCTTTCACGAGGCAGCCTTTTAATGTGTAACCTTATTCGCACCGTACGTAGCCAACCGTGCTAATTGGAGATGTGGGGGAAGGACAAGAAACTAATCACAAAAAGCAGTTCTAAAGCGATGAGTTTCAATCTAGATTTAAAAGTTCATATATCGTGGCCTCATAATATCAGGAAGAGCGTTCCAGACGGCCACAGACGCGCACATGCCTGGGCTCAAGTATATGCTGAGCTTCCACTGCACTATTGACTTACCTTCTGCCACACATCCTGTAGGGAACACATATAAGCAACTACTACCTTTATTTCGGAATAACAATGACACCACGAAAAAAATCAAGATTTAAATAGTTACATTTTATTTCTATCGTAGCAGTTTTCTGTACAGCGCTGATAAACTTTATGAAAACAAACACAAATGTTTCCTTTACACCATTGCTAAAAGATGACCCCAAAACAGATCATTAGGACACTGTACACATTAATCCAGAATATAATTACAAGGCCATACACATAAAAAAAATACACACGCAGAGTGTTAGGCGGTTAACAAAAGTAAATGGTAGGGAAACCAAATTGGTATGCGTTTTTGTGAAAGATTATGTATTATGTAGATCCTACGCGTATTACAAACACACAATTACATTGCTAATGTTTTGACACAGTTCAATGGATGTGTAATTATGAAGACGATACTGCATTCACATTGACTAGTACTGTTGGCTTTAATGCAGTGTAGTGTGCAAGTCTTTTTTTTATTACGAGGTGCATGCAAAACAAACAAAAATTGCTAAGACAGCCAAATTGTTGGTCCGTACGTGGCACCAACGCATTTATCCAGCACAAAACGACACCAACGTGGAAATAACATCTCCCGACAGATTGATTCAGGCATTTTCTCAAAGACATTCACCAACAAGCAAATCAAGGGTGGCTCCAGTGTTCACGTGTCCTGACAAATTCCGACATAAAGTGCATACAGATTCAAAATGTAAAGTGTGGTTGGGCTGTTTTGTTGGCAACTTGCTGGCCCTTCACACCTCCCAGCGCACATGCCAGATTGATTTTGAATTGTTGGATTCAGAAAACAAAGAAGGATTTCCAGTTTAGTGCATTGGCTCCTTTTAATGCTGTGGTCAAAACAATAAATTCGAGTTGCTTCAAACAGCTGCGAAAGATGATAAAAAAACTAACAATAAAAAAATTACACGATGACGTTTTTCTTTCCTCTCTGCAATGAAAATATTCTGAAGTCTAAGTAGGTTGCCTTTTGTCAAGATTGGACATCTTGTTTCGTGATAATCATATACCCATTGTGCTATGTGCTTTAAGCCATTAAGCGAAGTATGTTGCATTTGTGTACCTTCTACCAACGACAAAGCCACTCATATGGAAAACAAAGAACTTAGCATTAACACCGGAGGCCTTTGCCCGACATGTTTCTTGGGTCTATTTTATACAACCACAAGGATGCACACACATATCAGCTATGCAAAATATAAAGCAGTTCACTCGGTGCACATGTGCAAAGCTATCGTCACATCTGAAGTACAAAACCAAACATGTGTATGTTGATTATAAAGCATGATGATTGACAGCAGACGAGGCCGAGACCACGAAATTCAATGTGCATGAGAATGTGCTTTAAACTCAGGTTGAAGGCTGGGTTTCTAATCCGGGATCTCACTCGTACTGGACCAGTAGCCGGACTTAAGAATAGCATTAGCTAATGAACCATGCAACTACCTTTTCCCAGTAAAAGACCAGGGGAATGTGCTTGTATGCCTACACAAATTATATAAGGCCGTCTTTGTCATTAACATGGCCTGAAATCAGGAAAAGACATGACTGGCCAACGTTTTGGGCAATAGTCTTACTTCAGAGCATTCAAGGACAAAAAGATCGACTTATTATCGTTGGTACCTTGAAAAAACTACCAAATATGAAGATTAAATACAAAAAGTGTTAGTAGACACATTCAAGGATTTTCATCCGCAGACATTAAGTATTAATTTCCGTTCAATCTGATATTGGCAAAATATTTAAATTTTAATTCAAAACATGCGATCTCACAACTTTACCACATCGAGGTATTTTTTCTTTGGCTGCTCTGAAGCCCCAATACCTGCAATATTAATATATTGAATATATATTTGTCATTGTTGTAAAGCAGTGTCAACATGAAGTTGATTTATGTTAAACTGTACCTTTTGAAAATAAAATTATAAGCTTGCACAAATACGAATCTCAAGCTTGGATGAAAGCTTATCAACATTTCAAAATTAATCAAGCTTGTGGTTCATTTTACTTTTAAATTAGCGTAGGTGTTTTTTCTCTCTCATTTTGTTCCATTACTGTATATCATAGGTGAAGAGTAAGACATGGCCATTGTGTTCCAAACAATGGCTCACCTGGCAGGATCCAACTTTATTTGACAATCAAACAATTAGTGCACTTTTTTGCGTAAACGTGCCCCCTCCCCCCTCTCCCTGTCAACTTGTATCGACCGTGGAACGTTTGTAACGTGTTATGGGTTCACTATGCATGGCTTAATAACAAACTGGCTTGGGCCCTACTAGATTCTCCCAGTGCCTGTTTTCACAGGTCATAATATCGAATTATATTGGAGGAATCCGATGAGCTATGAAGCTCTTTTTGACAGATGTCCAGTCGGGGCGGGTAAGAACGTCACAAGATCAGGGAGTGTAGCAAGACAACTTCATAATCACAACTCTCGACAAACCACAGCCTACAATTCATGGACACAGGCAACAACCACATAAATATCTCATGACAGGAAAACGTTTGCATGTGCCAACACCTCATACTTTCTTGTGCTTTGAAGCTGTATGTTCAACTTACGCTCTGTGATATGGCAAGTGCCAATGTATAGTCTTTTATTTCAGCACTTATTGTAGGCAGTGTCAGGCAAGAACATTTTTAAGCTATGATACAAAACAATGCTGGCACCTGAGCGACTGTTTAAAGAGAGATGGGAAATTGCAGTGGCTGAAAAACATATTTTTGGCCACCAATATCATTTAGAATTGATTCAATAAAGATATGAGTATTTGAGAGCTCCCAATAGATAATAGTAATCTGCTAAGTGTCTGGTAGGCAACATTAACAGAAAAATCGAAAATTGGTTACAATGTATTTGCACAATGTATTTTAAGTTGAATAATTGTACATGTCAATACATCAAAATACAAACATGATGATAATGACGATAATAAACACAATATTAACAAATTACACAAATGGCTCTTTTAAAAACAAGAGAAACCTCGACAACACTCAAAACAATTACTCGTCAAACTTTGTTCGTTGAAAAATCAACCGCATGATAAAAGGTCAGTAGTTGATAGACTCTGCATTGCAAGTCCTTTTGGCAAGAATACAGACAAGTGGCATACACAGCATCCTTCTCTACACCTCCACAGTTACGGAGGCATGCCTGCATTGATACATTTCCTACACTAACTTGTCAAAGTGGCCTCACACAGGGGTTTTTGGTAACATATTTCACAGCACACCAACCTAGGCTCACCTAACAAGCCCTCTACAATGATTGAGAAGCAATGGTTTTAATGACCCTTTATCCACCTTCTGAGCAAGCCTATTTCACAGAATATTACTTTAACATAAACAAGATTGTCATTTTTTTTTACAATTGCTCAAAAAGTGAACAAATCGTTCAAGGGTATTTAATGCTCCAGTATATCCTAGGTTGTTAACGTTTATATAGTAATGACCGTAATCAGTTATATACGAGCACACAGAAGTTTAAACAAAACTCAGACACCACACTGAAGACTCTCTGAATGACACCCAACATAAGGGCACAAACACACACACACCTACCTCTAAACACTGACACCTCAACGCAAACCGTTTCACCTACACAGAAGGGGTGACCTACTACCACGACAAGTACAGCAAAGCAGAAGTGAAAACTGAACAATATCCACATTGGTGTAATCCAACAGCAACACATACAGCTCACATATCACAACTCATCAGTCCCCTCATTTTGGCATGTAAGTGCATTGAAAGCTGCAACCTCCAAACAGAAAGTTAAAGTAAAAACTGTACGATCGCAAATAAAACCCCAAGTGTTTCTCCTGTCAGACCGTATTCAATCCAAAAGCACACGTACTTAAATTATAGCCTCTTTGACACCCATGCATTAAGATACGATGTTCGATGGTCATCATGAACAAACTTGGAACAGTACTGTGGCTTGTAAACACTAATGGGTCCATTTGTATGTTCGACAATTTCATGCACTTTGAAAATGTAGAGATAAAATGCACCGCAAACCTTTTAAGTGTTTTAACAATATCCAGTTCAAAATACAAGTTCGTCGGGTCTTACAAGAAGTTATTTTGTGTCGAAGAATCCCAAAGCATAAACACTGATCCAGAAAAATAGTTCCATGTGCCTTTTATCAATGGCAAGCCACTTTCAGGTACACAAGATGCATATATACAAATGTATCAATGATCAGGCATGTTGCAGTGTTGATAACTCGTACATTTTTAAGTTATTCTGATTTCTAAATTTACATGCTCAGGACATATTTCGGAATGTCATTTAATACGTCGGGAACTGTCAGATTTCAAAAAGAAAACCTAAGCGATTTAAAATGTTGAGTATCTCGGGTCATGGATTTTAATCGCATTTAACACTTGAAGGACGTTTAGTTTCTTTAGAGTTATATACAATTGAACCACAATCGCTTTAAATTTGTATACATCGGACGAGCATGTGATTTTGCGTGGCACTGACGAAACGCGGTTTGGCTTCATAACGCGCTCTCGCACTTACTCACAAACATATCACCAGTGAAGCATGGCACCGTTATGAAAATATTTGTTTAGACATCACTGTACATGGCGCTGACCAAGTTTTTTTTTTCTTCAGAATACAAAATAAATAGGCCAAATATTTGCTACGGTATCAATCACACACCTTGAATATTCCTGCGGAACTGCACTGCAAGTCGTTATACCACAGACAATAGGTCCTTTTAACTAAATATAAAAAATAATTTCTCGTTTAAACGAAATTTGTTCAAACGTGATTTTTTTTAACAGAAGCACTAAATTTACCACTCATTAATGTGAAAAGGCCAGGATTGTAAAGATGAAGCGTGTGATGAAGCTACAATGCTTATGCAATATGCAGGCCCTGTTGACCCATTTTTTTTACATTCAGCTTTACCTGGAACTCACCTTGTGGACACTTACAGGAGAAGACATCTAATGGCTACAATATAAAATTGAGCAGGTAGTTACATCAGTGGCGCCTGGACAGACAAGTAGTGCAAACAGTCGAGGGTTACAAGCCAAAGATAGTGGTGAACTCGGACAGTATGAACTCCTACGATCTGGTTCTGGTAGACAAGGTGGAAGGCCATGCTGCTGCTCTCATTCTCGGGCCGCAGGAGTGTAGGCCCGAACACGATGGCCACGCTCTGCGTCGTCATTCGATTCGCTTCGCCGCACGCGATCACCCTGGAGGCACAAAAAAATACGGCCAGGGCGCACTCAGGAAACACCGTCAAGAAGGAGGCAGCTCTCGAGCTGAAATCGGATCCTGCGCCGTACCCATCGGAATGCAATGTCAAAAAACCCACTTCAAAGAGCTAAAGAGCTGGTGGTGGTGCCTGTACCATCGGTGCTTTGATGGGTTATCGTTATCATGTAGGCACGTGAATAAACACGCCCAACTTACTTTTTCAGGTGCTCAAACAGGGCTCTCATGGTGTCTTTATTTGGCTTGGGGAGTTTTTGCACTTGCTCCTTAATCTTGGTCAACTTCTCCCTGCTGTCTTGGTTCTCTGGGGGATAAATAAAAGACGAGTGGGATTATGCAATGCCCATGTGAGAACGAGCCAGTATCGGTTAGTCCCTAGGTTATAATTCACAGACCTCTAGCATGAAAAAAACAGGGTTATTTTTGCATAGCGAGTTTGTCTCAGCCCCATAAAAATACAAATGTTTGTATACATTCGACTTTGCACTGCAACTTAAGTACTTTTGTGGTCGTGACAGGAGGGTAATTCTAAAGTCATTGATATAATCCTTGTTATTTAATTTGAACCTATCTACGTGACTTTACCGAAAACCCCAAAGAATAGAATAGAATCCTTGTCCCCGATGTTATTTGGTTGTTTTTTTCAGAAATCATGTTACAATAACGAACAACCTTTTGTCAACCCACTATTCCATTCAAGCCTCCCCTAACCATGTGAGTCATGGTGTTATATGTTTAGTCATACTGCATCATGCTGGTCAGTGTAGGTAGGTAAAGGAAGAGGACCAGGACTGGTTAATATATAATTCGCCACTTATGATAGCCAGGGACCAAACGCAGGGCAGCTGGGTTCATAAGTAAAGTGTACTAACAACTGCCCGACCGCTCCAACCCCTGATATTCATAAAATGTATATATACACAATGTTTATAGAATTTCAGTGATATCTTATGTCATAATATTGTGTTATGAAGGTCCATTTTCCCAAAACGTTGCCTGTTACATATGTATTATTTTAAGGCAGGATTATTGTCATGGCATTATGCAAGGGCACAGCTCAATATATTCTGACATTTGTAGTTCATAAAATGGTTTGTTTGATGGCATGTTTAGGAGAATGGAAATAGTCTCAGTGTCAAAAGCAACAATATATTCAGTAGACGACCTTAGAGTGAGCATTTTATGCTTCAAGTGACATACAATTTTCAACAGGAAAATGCAAGAGTCAACAAAGTACCCGTTGGCTCTGCCAATTACTAAACACGAATCCCGGTTTGGAGTAACAACTATGTAAACTCATTCAGGCATGCATTATACGCAGTGGCAATCATTGAAGAATTTTATTTCCAAATTAGCTTCAACTTGTGCATCTAGAGCTTTCTACACAACTTGTTGAAGCTTCTGATAAATTACGGGTCTGAATATTTATCAACAAGCTTAGCTAGTTTCATTTTTTTTGTTTCTTGTAATATGTATTAGAGGAAATATTTTGTACATTTTGGGGATTGGCAGGTTTCAAATAGTTATTGATTAAGCTGAATAGAGTAAAACGTCATGAAGTCAGAATGAAACCAGAATTTGATATGAGCCAGAAAGGTTAAATAAATAAATACAGTACATGCAAACTTGATTTTTTTTCAAATTACCACCAAAACAGTTGACGTGCGAATTAAGCAGCATGTGGTAGGAGACGGTGGAAAGCTCAATGCTAATCTTGTGTAGAAAGCTCTAGATGCACTTATTATATGGTGAGGATGAGGAAGTCTACGATGTTACTACTGACCGTTGTAAGAAATACAATTGATGTGAATGTGCACTCGCAATTCTAAGCCTCCAATATTTACTTAACTGTTGTATGTAATTCATTCAACCCATGCACTTGGATGTGTTCTCTCTATAGCAGTCGGTGCTCTCTCATTTATTTTACAAAAAACTGAATAACATTTCCAAGCTCATCAGAAGATGTCACCAGCCTTCCACATCCGATGACCTGAGCTAGTCACGTCCACTTCACTTCATGGTGATGGTAAGCGACTCGAATGAAACAATAATTTAATAATGATTTTCTTATTCTTTGGGTCTGTCGGTAAAGTCACGTAGATAGAACAATAAAATAATAAAAATTAAAAGAATGAAAATAATAATAAACAATAAAAATATCACGACGCTTCAACACAAGCAATCGTCACCTGATGACCTGATGATGATTGCTTGTGTTGCAATCGAAACGTCGTCATGTTTTTTTTATAAAAAAAAATGTAATTCACTTTATTTTCCTGCATATTGTTATTATAAAGGATATGATTATGTATGTATGTTGAACTTCTTTCGCACCATATATAGCCAACCGTGCTAATCGGAGGTGCGGTGGAAGGACAACAAACTTATTCAAGTACACAGCTCCAGTGGTTTCCTAACATGGGAAGGAAGAGCATTCCAGACGGCCACATAAGTGCATCTGAAAGCACACGATGCGGTGACCGTCTTTGTTCAAAGGTTAGCCAAAAGCTGCTGCTGCGAGGATGACCGGAGTTTGCGTGATGGTTTATGCTCGTTGACGAGATCAACAAGGCAAGGTGCATTTGTGGTGAGCACTTTGCGTGTAATGAATGCAACCTTCGGAGATGCTTTTGAAAATGGAAATATGACCAGCAGTAAAAATTTGTTGAAAGGCCGGGAATGACGTATTATTTTTCGGGAGGTGGTAATTGTAATGAACGTGCAGGTGCCGTGTCGCATACTTATGGCACTAATGAAGAGATCAAACTGGTTGAATGGGAAGAGGGGCTCAGGCAGCTCCCGGAAGAACATCTTGAGGGCTCCGGTGATGACGTGGATGTCTTCCCAGTGGCTCTCATCCAAGCTCACCTTCTCTTCTGCACAGCACAAGAAGAGAGAATGGCTTGGAACTTGGCACATAACACTCTGGTCACTTTGGGGGAATGCAGTGGAGAGGAGCTAAGCGAGCATTTTGGTCGCGAACCTAAGTTCACCACCAGTGATGGACTGGCACAAAATCAGCCCAGGCATTTGCAAACACACCGGCCCAAATTGCCATGGGATCTCATTGGTCCATTTGGGTTGGCCCAAAAAACAAATGGACCGGTAAGGAAGAATTTTTGGGGCTGCCGAATAGTGCAATATATTTTACACAGACCTGCCCATCAGCACTCAGAATGAATAGGCCCACTGAACAATTGTCCTGACTGCCCTATGTCCAGTCCGGGCCTGCTCACTGCCAACCACCATGAGAAGCGCCTGACAGTATTGCTAAGCGGACTCCCCACATCATATATCCACCTCCCTGCTCACCAATACATCTTGCATTTAAAAAACAACGCCACTTTTAAAGAATGTCCTTCGCAAAAGCTGAATTGGTTATTAATCATACGTTCATATTGTATGGCATTTGAAGGCTATGGGGAACACACATTATTAAAAAAGCAGGGTGAACTAAATATAAACAAGACTTTTCAGATTAGAGTCAATTTACATGACTAATAAAGCCCACGCTTATTTTTTTCTGTAATGTTTTCATAACGTAAGTAGATCAGTCACTGGATTTAATATCTGTAATGGTGCATTGTTGCACGACAAATATTCCAATATATTACACAGAACATTTATAAAACTAAATATATTGAGCTTTGCAATTAATTAAATGTTTTATTCATCACTATTTTGCAGGCACTTACCGCAGCTGACATTAAAAAGCCTTTTGTGTAATCCAGTGGCAAAACAGCTTTATGTGCAAATAAAATGACTTCATACACAGCTGATACAATCACTATTAACTGCAACAGGCAACTTCTTAAACCTGGAACGATTTGTGACCCAGTTACATAGGCCTGTAATCCGCATTGTTAATTTCCTTGTATATTATCGCGAAAGGCCGTTCAGGATTGATTTAAAGGTTTACCCTCGTGTGGCATGTCATTTGCGAATTGGCATCGCCATCTTTCATCCCTTACCATGATCCACAAGGAAGCGCAGCTTCTGTATCGTGGCCAAGTTCCCGCTAACCCGGTAGATTCCATCTATGCAGAGTCCTGAAAAGAAAGAAAAAAACACAGAAATGTCGAAAGCTTTCAAATTGCATTGTACGGCGATGGTTATTGAATATCAGCCACCACTACACTATAATACGGCACTTGAAAACTGTTTGTATTTTTTTTACTAGGTAAGGGCTGCTCAGGTATATAGCTCTTTTTCAGAAGAGACTTGGCCACAAATGATTGCTAAATGAAGTGGCTTGTCGCGTGGAAATTTAAGGCAGCCGAATACTCTCAATGCATGTTTCAAAATGTGGAGGGAAAAACTGGAGGACTCGGAGAAAAATCTGCGCAACTGCAGGGAGAACATGCAAACTCCAAATATACAAGTGTCAGGGTAAAGTTCTAGATTTGAAGCTTTCGTGACTGCAAGGATTCATACTCTTAGTTCTTTCGGTAAAGTCACGTAGGTAAAAAAATGAAATTAAAATTAATAAAAATAAAACAATAAAAATCACGACGTTTCGGAGGCAACGGAAGCCTCCGAAACGTCGTGATTTTTATTGTTTTATTTTTATTAATTTTAATTTCATTTTTTTACCTACGTGACTTTACCAAAAGAACTAAGAGTATGTCAGGGTCAAGATCGAACCCACGACCTCCTGTATACCAGACGAGGTAGTAAACATCTCGCCACTGTGGGGAGAAGTTTGCTTCAGGATTGCACCGGTGAATAGGAGATGAACACACTATGCATCTGTGTTTCCACCATTAAAAGGACGCAATTCTACACGGTGACCGATTCCATTGGTTCTGCTGTGTAAATGATGCCGATTTTCTAATAATCCGGGTTACCAATTCATTTTTTTATTAAATAGATTTATTTGAATAAGAAATTGTAAAATCAGATGAAAATGTAGAGGGTCTTTAAAAATACTTAGCCTACTTGTGAAAAGGATAAACACATGTGTATGTCCTTTATATTTTGCCAAATGAATGTATTTATGATACCGTGAATATTTTCCAGTGAAAATAAGCTACATGTCAGATTCCGTACGATGTACAGGTTACAACTGTAAAATAATGGTAAAATCCTGGTGACTGTCAACGATAAACAATTGTGTAGTGGAAAATGATAAGTTGCCCAATCCATGCAAATACTTTACTTTTGGAAAAAGTCAAGATCGTTAATCCTACTTTTTAATTGGAAACTCAGTGACACACAATGCATAAAGCTGCCTTCATCATTGATTAATGGAAAAAACATGTATTGCAGCATAATTTGACGTGCCAAAATGACTACCGCATTCCTGTAATTTATATACAATTTCTAAAGCACATCAAAGATTAAGTGTATGTTAAACATAATGGGCATTTCATACGTGAAGAATCCTTATTTATTTATTTACACATACATTTGAAGCTGAACTTGAACCTTCATATAACGCACAAATGCAAAGTCATTTCCATCAGGCAATATTTCAGTGACTTGAATATACTAAATAGCTTAGTAATTTTCCATAGGTGTTCATGGCACAGATTAGTGTAAAGAAAACAATCAAAATACGCAGTTCGATGCGTACTGACTTGCACCGCTGATTGGTGATGTCAAAAGAAGTTAAAACATTTCAGAATGTGCACATTGGCAGTTTGATAACTTGCACTGAGCACTGGGTCCATAAACAGTACAGACAGAACTGGTTTAGCAACCATCAACAAAGGGTTTGTCTGTTACCCAGCGGCTAAAATTAGTTCACGATATGCCGAGATAAAAACCAGTCATCACAATTTGTTTTTTATGCGATTCTCATCTGGTCTCTCTATTTAAGCACTATTTAGAATGCCCATTTGCCAAAATGTCACCTGTTTTTTTGTTCTTAAGGCAATGGTGTTAGTGAAGAATGTGTTGAGTGTATTTTGTTAATTGTGCTTGTGCACCACTGGCGATGCAACATCGCCAAATAAATCACCAAAAGTTGTGTGACTAAACAGAACGTAGCAATTGTTTAACCAATGCATCACAATGAAACGCTATACAAGTCATTTACGTGTAAGCTATTTTCATTCTGTTACGAAAAAAACAAAAAGCAAGTCACCACGCAAGACTTAAACACACACTTACTGACCCTTGGGAGAAGTGAAGTTCTTAAAAGCGTACCTAGGGGGCGCTATTAAACTGTGGAATTACACAGCAATCACCCAAAGAGTCGTCAGACTCGGCGAGTCCTTCCGAGGCAAACACGCGTAATAAATAATACAGGTAGGAACAACAGGTTCCACACTGCCCACCAGCAGAGGCGTAGCTAGTGGGGGGGGCAGGGGGGTACATATGTCCCCGGGCGCCAAGGTAAAGGGGCGCCAAAATGAGGCTTACAACGTTACATTATAACTTATTGCGGCGGGCGCGGCAGCCTGAAACTACTGCACAAATCTACACATCAACCTAAAAGTTTATATATCCCGCCACACACAGCCTACATGTCATGTAATTACATTTTGGTATGTGATTAAACGGGGGGGGGGGCGCCAATTTTATAGTTCGTCGCCGGGCACCAAATATCCTAGCTACGCCACTGCCCACCAGGGATTATTTGTCTGTCTGTCGTGCATATTTGTCTGTTGTGCACGAATGCGCTGTCCAACCAAGTTCCTACCTGCCCACTCCGAAGGAACGTGTTAATAAAAACTCCATTCACAACAACCTTGCTGAGGAGGATAAATAATTGCTACATTTCGTTTAGTTACACAGCACATACTCATGATTGCTAAACCGGTCCTGCCAAGATAGTGCGTAGAGATCCCACAGCCCCTTGCTAGTTACCAGACTGCCAATGCACACATCCTGAAATGTTTGAACTCATTTTTACAAAGCCAATCAGTGGTGGAATCGGCACACATCTACCCGTGTATTTTTGATTGTTTTGCGCACTTTAGTCATGAAACAGAGATATCACAGGAATGTCTATAGACTATTGAAAGAATAATATATATTTGAGAAAAAAACCACCATGAAATTTTACTAAAAAACCCCATGTCTAATTGTATGAAGGTTGAACCGATACAAATGAATTGTTTTATTACATTGTAACTTGCGGATGCAAAGCATGGGTAATTAATGCATCCGACAGGAAGAATTGGAAAGTTTTGAGAGATGGTGCAAGTAAAGACGTGTGTATCTACCAGGTAAAAGCTTTCACACGTTAGATGAATGTCAGAAAGATTAATAATATCGGTGAGAAGCAGATCCTGTTGTCAGAAATCAAGAGGGTCTGTGCGGGTCTCATTGGTAAATACAATTATTGTTTGTTCTCCAACGTACGTGTTACTCTGAGCCTCTATTTATGCAAGTCTTATTTTCTGGTGAATACATCCTTCCATTTGCCTTTTGAGAGCAGTTCACTGAATGTAATAACGTAATGGTGAGGGGCCAGCCATACTGTGTTCCATGTCATCAATGAATGACGTCTTTCATCTTCAAACACAATAACATAAGTAGGAGAAATAACTTGGCTTCATATTCTTAGGTTTTTTCGGTAAAGTCACGTAGGTAAAAACATTAAAATTAATAAAAATTAAATAAAAATCACGACGTTTCAAGTGATACAGCTGTCGTGGCTGTGACGGTTCCACCTGAAGACGGAAGCTTGTGTTGCCTCCGAAACGTCGTGATTTTTATTTTATTTTACTTTCATTAATTTTAATGTTTTTACCTACGTGACTTTACCGAAAAAACCTAAGAATATGAATCCTTGCAGTCACGAAAGCTTCAAATCTAGAAACTTGGCTTCGTCAAATGAAATTCTATTTTATAAACAGACATTCTCCTCTTTAACAGCTACTACTGGAGCTGCTTCGTCTGCTGCTTCATATGCTTTACAGGTTGTTTGACAGTAGCATTATTCCAAATTCAAATTTATTCAGTGCATTAAAATGCATTTATATTAAAATAAATTAAGGGCACGTGTATTATTATGATCTTGTTTGGTGGGGATACGTGTTTTTGGAAGGATGTGGAGTTTACCCATTCAACTGATCTGCCAAACAAACAAATATTCTGTAAATAAACAGCACTATTTGAATTAAAAGTGGCTGAAATCCCAGCATAAACATAAATTGTACCAAACCATTTAATCTTGCATTAATTCGATTATCTTTTTATTCTTTGGGTCTTTGGGTAAAGTTACGTGACTTTACCGAAAGACCCAAAGAATGTGAATTCCTGCAGTCACGAAAGCTTTAAGTCGAGATCTATTCTCTTTGTTTTAAATAACATGATGACCAATTACACATCAGTATCGAACTCTTGAAATACATAAGGTGCACATTCAGGAAGAGTATTTTTAAAAAAAGGCGAAGCGGTCAAACGCCGTTTACCTCTTTTGTCAACAGTCTCGATGCTGAGTTGGACAAACTTGGGCACAGCGGTGTTTTCCCGTTCGCACAGCATTGCCAATGGACAGCCAAACACTTGCTCTGCGTCAAAAGAGAAACCAAGCAGCAAAACCATTAGCGATGTCACCTTGCCAATTGACCTCGGCCATCACACAGTGATGCATGTGGCGGCTGAGATGTGACAACGCTTGCATCTCATAGGGCCCGGCGCCGGAACTCTCACCTTTGATGAGGCCTTTGTCTCTCAGTGACTGGATTGGTGGCCTCTTCGGAAAGAATTTCATCAATTTCCTTTTGGCTTTCTTTTTGTCCGTGCTTTCCACCACTGCTGGTTTACTGACTGCTAGTGAACAAAGGAGAGGGAAAAAAAACGGGTATATTCGAAATAAAATTAGTCATTATCATCATTTATTCACTGCAGGATGACGGCCTCCCCATGTCATCGTCATGTCCCATGCTCCTGCATGCGCCGATTTAATCGCGCCATTTACACGCTGGTCATCCCTCTTGAGCAAAACTATACTTTGGCTGAAATTCCACGGCCAAACTCATCCACTGTCCAACATTCAATTCTTAACGGTCAATGCGATGTCTCTGAATAAATGTAGACAAGTGAAGAATGCGATTGCTCGAGGCAGATGTAAGAGTAAAGTGTCGTATCTCTTGTCATTCTCTTATCACCTCACCTATTATTTAGGGGAAAGGCAATATTTATTGTTATCTGCAGTCCAGATGATTCACAATGAATGAACAGATTATTAACAGGATTGAAATACAGATATTCATTGGGACCATATGATAGTGCCACAACACCCAGTAGGCAGAGAGAGGCAATATTAGGGTTATAACGAGCACAGCACTAACCCCAATGCTTCTTGGAATCCTTGGACTTTTCCCGCAGAGGTGACTCGCTGCTCTCCTCTTCTCCGCCGCTGCCATCGACCTCATCAAAGTTTCCACCATATTTCACCACACTGAGAAACACCTCATCCCGGTTTCCTGGCTCACTGCTCTGGAGTGACACGTGCAACAGTCGTTTAAAAGACACGGTCAGTAAAGTTAATGAGCTTTTAATTTGAAGTCTCCATGAATGAGCTGTGTTCAACGACACATTAAGCCATCTTATATAAGGGAATGTCCCTTCGGTAAAGCTGAATGGTGGTGACACAAAACTAGGATTTCAATGACACTGCCATGCAGAAAAATTGGTGGCCACCACCTCACACATTTCACAAATGAGGAGTGTCTTGGAAAAAAACTTGGCAATCCACATATATATGCAAACATTATATAGGTGAGCCATGCTGACAATCCACTTTTGATAGTTGTTTTTGTAGTATTACCCTACAGATGGCCAAACAATGACCGCATTCATTCATTTACTTTGGCCATTTAATCCATCTACTCTCAACATAACACTACTTTCTGGACAATGAGCTCTTGTGTGCTACAAAGTCTCTTCAGAACACTCCTCAAATGATATCACTGCATTACATAATTTCCAATGCAATGATGCAATCGCTCAAACACATTGGTTGTAAATATTGTTAAACTGAAACTGGTGTAGGTAGAATCATGTAGTGATAATGACAAAGTACAAGGTCTTTCTCATAACAAGCTTACCTCAGGTAAACACTATCATACACTGATGTCAATACACAGCGTCGTGAAAACCTGTAACACTGCCCAATCCGTGCCGAGTATGTGTGTGTATGCAATGGCACCCTATGCAGCTCTACAACACTGAAATTGTGATCTTTTAAATATTAATTGATTAGAAGTGTATACAAGTGAGGTGTCCACGTTATTTCAAGGGGTCAGAGCATTAAACAAGCACTGCTGAGATTCTACATTAAAATCTCAGCAGCGGCCCCGTAAATAGACCAAAGCTGGAAGAACCCGATGAGCTATCAAGCTCTCCTTCATCGGTGTCGAGCCCAAGATGGGGTCGGCTGTATGTATGTATGCATGTTTCACACCGTACATAGCCAACCGCGCTAATCGCCAAGTAAAATTAGTTGGTCTGAGCCTGGTTAATAATCGATGAACAAAAAATACAAAGCAAAAAGACATAAAATTTTGGTTTGACAATATGGTCAACTTGCGGCTGTTAAAAAACAATGGTTTGACCAACATTTAATACATACTCTGCGCAGATTATAATTAAACGGTGTGCCTCTTGTGAGATTCTCTGTCACAGGGTGACGCATTCCTATGCTGTTCATAGAACTGTTCAATACCGTGTGGCCCTCAGTTGTACATTTTTTTTTTTACCTTGCATTGCACATGGCAAGAAAACAATGTCAATAGAAAATATGGGAAGGGTATTACAGGTCTTCTGCATTGCTGATAGACCTTCAAAGCAAGTGCTGTATCAATAACAATAATAAGTATATGCTTTGGCGGCAACAGCATCAGCAACATCACTAATATTTGTCGAATGATGCAAAGGAGGATGTTGAGGAGCATTGGTTTGAGAAAATCAGGACACGAAGAGATCTGTGTAGAGAACACTCGGCATTTCTGCAACTACATTTCAATGTAATCAATGACATAAAATGAATGCAAGTGGCCAAGTGGTAGGCTGTGGGCACCTACCAGTTTTTGTATGACGCTCCTTATGGCTTGAAACCACTCATTGATAATGGCATCATTATCCGATTGCAGAAGGAACTCATGATATCCCGTCCCTGCTTGGATCTATGGAAAAGCATAACAGGAGAATTGCTGAATTTTTATTTAAAGCTTTCAGTGACTGCAGGGATTCATATTATTGGTTCTTTCGGTAAAGTCACGTAGAAGGGAAATAATAAAATAATACAAATATCAAACAATAAAATTATCACGACGTTTCGATTGCAACACAAGTAATCATCATCAGGTGTGAAAACCACAGCAAGAAAATTAGAAAAAAGTGGCCACTTTTTTCAAATTTACTTTTTGCTTTGTATTTTTTAAATGATAATGATTGCTTGTGTTGCAATCTAAACGTCGTGAGAATTTTATTGTTTTATATTTTTATTATTTTATTTTTTCCCTTCTACGTGAATTTACCAAAAGAACCAAGAATAAGGTAATTGCTGGTTTACGACAATACGAGATATAAAGTGTCACAACACCAACATAACAATCAAAGTTTGCAGCAAAATTTCAAAACCGGACACGAAGCGCCATTTGTTCCGTAAAGACCCGGCCTCGTTTCTTTCTTTCCGTGAAGCCAGTTGCCATTGCTGCATCAGGATACGACCAAGAGCACGAGATGCACAGTCAATAAGGTGACCCCCCCCCCCCACGTGTAACGTCACCAAGCTGGGTGGAGTGCAGCACCAAGCCAGCTGTCGCGAAACCCCGATGGCTATTTTGTGCCCGAGGCTCAGCTCGATGGCAACGAGGTTCCACCTACAAACCTGAAAGACATTCTTCTTGCTCGACTTGTCCCGGGCCCACTCCACGTGGGCTCCACGTAGCTCCACCGAGCCCTCGGGCTTGCTCTGTGCCGAGCCCGGTTTCTGGAAAACAGAAATAGTCCACGACGCACGTTACACGGGCGGCAGTGCGGTAATACAAAAAAGTTATGTTGTGCGTAGTTAAATGATCCTATGAAGTTGCTATATGCTATCTGCCCTTGATTATACCCCTCGTAACGGATTATGATTCTGTTGTTAAGTGGCACACAATGTCCAAGATGATTAGTAATATTCCCAAGCGACAAACGCTTATTATCACTTAAGGAAGTATACCTAGCAGAGTAAAATAAAGTTTATTGATATTATTTCATTATTTTGACCGAGATACATCGATGTTCAAACATTATTAAGGTAACAACAATTGGCCACTGTTATATATTTATTTTACAAATAGTTATAGGTATTTTAGGTGGTTATGGTGATTTTATTAAGGGTAGACAAGACCGAGTTTTATTTACCAAGTATGCGGAGAACAATGCATTAAAGAGAAGCGCACAAATTTAACATGAGTATCAAGTTGCCTCGCACGAGTAATAGGCAACACTAACGGTAACAGGGGCGTAAATCCACACTTATGGGAGAGGCAACAGGGTTAATATCGCTGCAGTCAATTAAAATTAAATGCACATATCCACACTTGCCAGGTTTGAACTACATCCGCTTTAATGTGCACAGGGTTCATTAAATTTGTGGGCATGGTCGTATATCCAATTATAAATGCAGAATAAAACTCAAGGTGTGTGGGAGTCACATTTATTTAATTCAATAACAATGGTCTCGGGTAAAAAACTACGTTGGTAATTACAAACTTTCACGTCATACGTCGCAGTCTTGTGCATGTTTTTTTCCCCTTCTCAAAAGCAAAATCTCTACATATAGTTTATGTAAACTATATGTAATATGTCATAATTGCAATTACTTCTCAATTAGCATAACGTGCATGTTCAGCTGCAAACCATTGACACCAGCCAGATGCATGTTGATGCTAAAGATTAATTGATTCACCGTGAACTTGACAAAACTGTGCTCTCAGTAGTATTATGCACACTCTGTAAGCTGTTTAATGCAAGCATGTTACTTGTGAAAATAAACCATCAGAGCAATATTAAAAATGTTACAATTCACAAAAAGGTGCAGGATGGTTTACTTCCATTTGCAGAGTCCTACATTGAGGCGTAGCCAATATTGTCTCAGCGTACACATACACACCTACACCACATTGACACTGTACCTCAAGCAGATGCCTGTGATTCTTCATCAGGATGCAATGCATGATGACAACTGGATATTGCCAGTGACCCCATAAGTCACGTGATGCAGCCACACTAAATTTTCCATTGAGTCAAACAGAAGCAAGGCTGCATTTTTGCTTCAATCTTGCAATTTATCCACAGTAGAGATTTTGTTGTATATTTGTGGCACAAAAACATGTTTAAAGGCATTCCTTTCAATGGAAAGGATCCACACCAAGGGATAGACTGCCATCTTTTGCAAGAGATCGGCATCAGAGATGATACACTCTGCATGGCCAATTAATACATAACCCACGGATTTTAAAACGCCAAAGGAATCAGCCTCAGGTTTTGCAGTCGTGTTTATGATGGTAATTCGGCAATTAGTCACCAATCATGTGCACAGACGACAGTTCAACCACACAGAACATCGTGTAAAAGTGCACTTCACGCGCGCCAGTTATACAATTATTTTCATTAAATTTCAGTGGGAGAATTGTCGGCATTCTGTAAGCAAGACACGTTGCTATGCGTTAACACGACATCACAACCTTGCATTATCGGCCTCTTTTGAAAGTGCAAATTGTGCTCGAGTGTGGTAAGAACCACTTAGAATTTGCAATTTTTTAAACAAAAAAATGTGTTCCTAGGCACAATGTTTAGAGAAAAAAAATTATACTCAAGAGGAAGAATATAAAACAAGCAGCAATGTGTACATTCGCTTGCGCATGTTTGTACGTTGTGTTATGTTTTAATAACGATAGAGCTGAATGTGGCTTGCTGCTACAGTGCAAAATTAAAAATCTTGACAATGAGGATGAGCCTATTAAGGATCTAAAACACACATGAGTAAATAAAAGACATGAAGCCCATAATACACTGTTTTAAAAAACTCTGTAATTGTGCATCATACACTTCAAAACATCTCCTTTTACAGCAGAATCTGTGGCCAGTATTGATAACATTAGAAAAAATATGCTGTACACGATGTTATAGAACGCACCGATTTTTCGATGTCTGTTTTTTGTTGTTATGTTTCACGTGCATTGTTAATATTCTTATGGCGTTCTTTCTATCTGCGTCATGGGGAGTTAATTCTCATCGGCTTCTGTAAAATTGTTTGTTTAACTGCCTTAAATGTTGTTGTGCCTAGTCCAGGGGTCGGCAACCAAAATAACAAGAAGAGCCATTTCTTTCCAATTCGGTACAAAATTCAGTATTTCAAGAGCCGCAATGCATCTATGTACATACGTACATATCGTCAAGAAGCAGCCCGTAAAGAGCCGCATGCGGCTCCGGAGCCATAGGTTGCCGACCCCTGGCCTAGTCCATTTGGGTCCTCTGAGCTGACATGGCTCATTTTCCACATAACTGCCCCTCAGTGCAATGCAGCAGGACAAAACTATCCGTGATACAACACTGAAGCGATTACAATAGTGATACCAATATAGAAGCGCTCAGTTGTTTGGCGTTTACTCAAAATACTTGTCACAGTTATAGCTGCATGTGCCGGTGTTCTATTACGGGTGACATACAGATACACAAACAAAAGAGGCCGATATCAAGTAGTAAGCGGAGCAGCATAGGCAGCCAACAACACTGGCCGCTTGTATGTACGTTAGTAAGATAATAGAAATAGTTTACGATTAAACACGTTTGAAAGGTGAACAGATCCTTTTCAACAGTGCTCAGCCACACGGTATGGATGGCGAAGCGAGTGAAAACGCGAGTCTATGTTTTACACGCGTGACAGCTCGGCGAATCTTTGTCGAGCCCTTCCAAGCGGAGACCAGGCTCAGTAGCATGTTGGACACCGCACTCTGCCGGGTAGAGAGATCGAGACCAATAGAGGATGGGAGTAAGGTTACTACAGTAGAAGATGCAGAAAGAATAGCGGAAGCAAAATTGTGGAACAAACCAGTTCGCTAGATTTCATTGTTCGAAATAAATTCATTCGACTGCACGTCATAGATGTGTCGGCAAGGCTTTTAAGTGAAGAGTTTACAAAGCTGTTATTTTCTCATTAATTTCGCATCACATGGTGGGAGGAGAGAAGTGCTGCTCTAAATTCCTCCAAAGCACCTTTACCACACACACCCTACCCCTCCCTTAACCACACACATCCAATCCCCTCCCTGAAACGGCACCACGTGCATACATTTACATATGTTCCAGAGAAAGTAAAACAGAGGTCCTTTTAAAACTTTTGAAAGAAGAGGTTGAAAATCATATGCATTTGCGGTCACAAAAAATATTTTCCTGCTGCATAGCAGGGCATTTGAATAAGATGAAACATAAATGGGGCCAAAACCGAACGGCAGTCGGGTTTGTGAGCACAGGAGGGAGCTGTTCATGTAAACAAAGGGATTATGCAAATTTTCAAAAGCAGAACCATTATTTTCGCTGTTGAAATGCTGTGTTTTTAGATATGTGATTTGGATAATGATCATGTCACCACCAGACCTAATTAAAAGCCTGCTCCCAGACAGAAATACTGTCTGTTAAATCCAAACCGTAACTTTCAGCGACGGAAAAAGAAAAACATATCTGCTAGAAATGGAGATCAGGTTTATTCTCATGTTTCCCCAACATGGTTTCACTAACCTACTTTTGAAAGTCACTCTGGTCTTGACACTCAAATCCTTAGGCTTGGTTTATTGAATTGGAAACGCCCGTCCCTGAGAGAAGGCTAAAATAAAATTGTGCCCGATGATCAGTCGGCGATAAGACTTACCCAGCTGGCAGCAGTTTGTGCTTTTGGCTCCTTGTGGAAAACCAGACTGCTTCCACTCAGCACCACCCATGAGGGAGCCCAATTCTTCCTGAAAAATCACATTTATGGTCACGGTCAGTACAGTAGCATTCAGTATTGAGTACAGTTGGATTAAATTTCGATTTAAAGCTTTCGTGACTGCAGGGATTCATCTTCTTGGTTCTTTCGGTAAAGTCACGTAGAAAGGGAAGTAATAAAATAATAAAAATAAAACACAATAAAATAATTCTCACGACGTTTCGGCCACAACGCAAGCAGCCGTCCTCAGGTGAAAACCAGGTCTGTCGAGGCGACAGACGCGACAGACTCTGTCAAACCTGGTTTTCACCTGAGGACGGCTGCTTGCATTGTGGCCGAAACGTCGTGAGAATTATTTTATTGTGTTTTATTTTTATTATTTTATTACTTCCCTTCTACGTGACTTTACAGTTGGATTGCGAGCATAATTCGTTGTTATCAAAGCACTCGTATATCAGTTGTGATCACGTGACTCTCGGCAGACAAAGCGTATACACGTACTGCTCGTATTGCAAGACCTCGCTCGTTTATCAAATTAATATTTATTTTAAAAAATTGCTCGTCTTGCATGGCACTTGCAGACCAAGTTACTCGCAATCCAAGGTTTTACTGTACATCATAGCATTGCACTAGTCAAGAATTAGCCCCCACGAATGTACTAGTTGACGTAAACATTATACATCTCCACATAAGCCCGTACATATCAGATTATTATTCATTATCAGAAACTATTTATCCTGGAAAAATCTGATAAGCTATGAAGTTATTGTTTACAGATGTCCAGGAGGTACGGGTCAGAAAGTTACAATAACAAACAATAAAAAAATAACGATAGGATTGCAAAGCATAGGAAAAGTAAGCAAATCACTAAAGATAAACAGATGAAAACTAACATATTTTAAATTTACCAGGGAAAACCTACTGAGCTATTAGTTCTTTTTCAGAAGCGTCCTGGCCACAAATGATAGTTGAACGAAGTGGCTTATCACGTGATCATTTATATCAACCAAATAATAAAATATATACATATTCTTGGTTCTTTTGGTGAAGTCACGTAGAAGGGAAACAATAAAATAATAATAAAAATATAAAACAATAAAATTATCACGACGTTTTTATACTTGCTGTGTTTTTCACACCTGATGATGATTGCTTGTGTTGCAATCGAAATGTCGTGAGAATTTTATTGTTTTATATGTTTTTTTTATTTTATTGTTTCCCTTCTACGTGACTTTACCGAAAGAACCAAGAATATGAATCCCTGCAGTCACGAAAGCTTTAAATCAAAATTCTAATATATACAGTTAAGGCACCAGCCATCGACTGGTGTCACCTCTGATATCAAAATCCATAACGAAAATGACAGTTTATTAACATTTCATGCCATGTGATAATGTTGAGTTGAACCACAGTAATTTTATACAAATCGTCAAGCAGCATAGTACAATAAGAGCTATTGATAAGTGATGCTAACAATCCATTCCATACACATCTTTCTGACAAAATAATGAGATCCACGTGTTTCATAAGATTTTTGCAATTTAATTCTCAATTGCAACATTCACTGTGTTCATGTCAGTAATTTTGTATTTACTGATTTAAAGCATGAAGTGCCTGAATATGGAGTAGTTTTTATAGAACACTGGAGGTGGAAGTGCCAATCGTGTTTCAGGCAAGGGGTTGACCTTAGCAAAAACCTAATGAAGTTGCTTTAATTACTTTCAGGGACATGCCACAATTGAAAAAGAAGATATAGCTCTGCATAAAAGTTTTAGAGTTCAAACATTTGCTCATCTGTTGTTGAAACGAGTTATTATGCTCAAGAAGGATTTCACGCTAACAGCAGACATGACTCAAAGAGATCGGTATGTCTGTTTGTTTAGACACAACAGTTAGGTAAAACGCTCAAACAATGTTTGTGTATTATGAAATGATTATATATGTGCATTCAAATGAGCGAATAGTTTTTGGAAGAGACATTACATCAAAAATCTGAAACCTCAAATGGAATTCAGGTCCCGCAGTAATGAGATGCAGAGAACCCTTGCTCTATACATGAGAATTTAACATTTTCTTCATTATGTAAAACAAATTACATAAGCGACTTACCTAAAATACCGATTAAAACAATCACATTAACTAATGCAAATTACAGAAAAGAGCAGTGTCTCCGTGCTCACTCATGTGTTCATAATTACTTTTCTTTGTTGGCAGTCCACAGCAAGTGGTGAAAAACTGACATTCCTCTGGCATGGTACAGTCCATCCAAAGGCAACCACAGCTGGCTCAAAGGTGCTCATTTTACCCACCCTGCCACATTTTAAATGTGTCCATGGATGGAGCAGTGCTGCAGCGGGTAGCGCATTGCACTATTAACCCACCCCGATTCCCAGCCGCAACTGACAACAGTAGCAATTGGTATCTGAACCAACCCATGCTGTCCAAGTGTGGTGAAGTATGACCCATAAACCCCCTATGACCGACATGGCATAGGGAGGCCTTAATCCAACAGTGGATTCACAAAGAGCTGTAAATTATTATTAAAATGTAACTATAAATGTTTTTCATTAAGGCCTGCAGTGTGTCAGCATTTGTCTTATGCCCATGTACCTACCAATTGAGATGTTCTAGTATTTAACATGCAGTGGATAGTATAGTCCAATCAAAACATCGAATACATATTTCATTTGGTTCATTATCCATCTATTCTGAGATTACACACTCAGTCAATCAACCAAAGGCACCCAAATCTGTTCCCTGACCTGCCAATGAGCCTTCAACACTTCACAGGGCCTCAAAATACACTTAGCATGCCTCAAGCCCCGTGGTGATGTCACCGCTACTTAGTGGGGAACGACAGTTGTTGTACGAACTTCACAATACATAAGAATAATTCACATCTCACAAGCTATCGTGTCAGCAAAAATCAAGTGTAACAACCCAGTACGAACCTGAGCTTCTTGCCAGCCTCCATTATCTTGGTCTTGTTGAGCATTCCAGCTTTGTCCAGGGGCTGTAAGATCACAACAACTTGGTAAGTATGATTGAAACAACAAGTAGAGAACTTATATATTAATTGAATTTACATATAAAAAAGTACCATTCCAATGAAACAAAACACAATATAATGGACCTCTTAAAAAGTGTGATTCTTTATTAACACTGCATATATATGAAAATAAAGTTTGGAAATATTCTCAGCTGTAGTAATCCACAAAATGTATTCATTAATGTACACCTTTCTTTGTAATTGAAAATAAAAGGACCACATTAATACTCTCTATGCAAATATATTGCATGCAAATGATGGACATGTTATTTTTTCCACATCATCTTTAAAATCCTACTTGATTAACACAGAAACCACTGCTGGAGAAAAGTGACTCCTCTATTTCAAAACCAGACATTTCTATATTTTGAAAAAACTTTGCTTCAAATTGCCAAAGAGGCAGCTGAGAGAATAGCATCCTATTGCACCAGAGGCATGCAAACCAGGCCTGTTTAGAAAAATAATCCTCCGATGGTTGACGGTCTTGGGTAACTTCACAGTACACCAAACACGAGAGCCGGCAGATAGGATTACACACACAGTGGATGTTGTTCTTTTGGTAAACCCAGCATTTGAGGCCGATTCACTTTCAAAATTCACTGGGTCGGTCATAGGATTTGGTGTGAAGTCAATGAATTACGTCATTTGTTTGAGGCCCTGGCCAATGAATAGATAATTTAAAAAAGAACACATTTATTTTTTAATCAATAAAAGAAAGCACAGAAAATGTTGGTGGTGCTAGAAATGCAATCGTTTTCATACAAGAGCAAGATTTTAGTTTGAGGTCTTTTGATTGCAGAGTCCATTGAGATAGAGGCATACAAAGTCTCGACCAATGCTTAACAGGTGTACACCTGTGAAGGAGAAACTAAATGCTTATGAAATGTAGATGCTGCATGAAACAAAAACGCATTTATTTTTTACAAACACAATGGGCATGTGATGGAGGCGGCAGCTTGCAATACACTCTTCATAATAAAGTTTTTGGGTTAGATCGCGTTATTTATAAATGTGTTGCAACCCTCCACCACCCGACAAGGCCAATCAGCAAAAAAAGTGTCATGTTGACAAAAGACAAATAGTTCACTACTTTAGCCCACCGGTGTGTTGAAGAGTGAATCCACAACATTTACAGTTTTTGAGTACGACGTTTCGCTGGTAATTACATCCAGCATCATCGGGCAGTTCGCCAGAATGGTGACACTTTTTTGCTGATTGGCCGTGTCGGTCGCGAAAGCCTACGTGTTAAACTGCAATACACTCTCTCTAACGTAACAATAATATGAACACAAAGTGAACCTGAGCTTCAAATAAAACATGGGAGAATATAATGATAATAATCAAACGGCACTGCATTTCAATTTATGGAAAGCCAAACTAATTTAACTTACTTTTCAGGTTGAAGCAGTTTCAGAGAATGATAAAGCAAGGTGCACTTTCTCTACTTTGACAAATGCTATTCCTCAATTGGTTATGCAAGACTCTCCATACAGTGGCTCTTACTGGTGACAGTGGATTTACAGTTGCTGGTGCAGCCTTGTCCGACAAGTCGTGATCTGAAAGTGTCCTTTTGTGCGGTGTAATCTGCCAAGACACAAATACAAACACAAGGATCCCCTGTTTTAGCCTTACAGACCAGAGGGCAGAGTCAAGCTGACAACAACAACAGCTGCCATTCGCCACTAAGTGGCGATGACGTCACCACAGTACTTGTGCCAGGCTAGGTGCACTTTGAGTTCCACGGGAAGTGTTGAAGGCTCACTGACTGGAGGTCAAGGGGCAGACCCAGGTGCCGTGGATTGACTGACCAAGATGACTGGCAGATGAACCACCTGTGCTCCCTACTGTGCCAGCACGGCAGTTGGAAAGGCTGACATCAGATACAAGTGCTCGCGCACAGACGCACACAGACACGAGCGGGTGGGCCTGGTTAACACCATACGCGTCTGTGCTTGTCTCGAGAGTGCAGATGTTCACTCAATGCAAAATACATTCATTTCAGGCCAAGTCAATCTAGAGGAAGCCCAGGACCGGTTCACGTACCATTATTATTACTGGTGTTGTGCAAGTTAAAGAATCACCTAAGGGTGGAGGAATTGTATGGCACTGGATGAACCATTACCCTTCATGGTCCTCCCAAACATAATAGAGACACCCCCCCCCCCTCTCTCTCGTATCGTCATACAGATCATTGCAGATTGTTGCGGCAAGTGCTTTAAAGCAAGCACCTTTTAAACAGGCACATCGTACAACAGGGTGTTGTGGCTAGCAGCACGCCTGGTAGCATTTATCTCCCCTAGTGCTAATGTTTTTTTTTTATAGAACACAAGATAATAGTTTAGGGCTGAATCAACCAAGAGGAGGCCCAGGACCAGTTCATACATCACAACTCACTGATGTAAGTCATGGCGCGGAATCAAACTCAGATTGCTGGATTCATAGCACAGTGGCACCAATGACTTGCACCACAGATCCCCCACACACACACAAGATAATACATTTTCCACTCAATATCTTTCTGGTGCCATTCAACTATTACGTCATGTTTTTAAAATTGTGTTTTATTGCAATACTTTGAAATTAAATTAGTTACCACTTATTGCATCGGAAATTATCATTGGCACTGATTCAATTACAGTACTTAAATGAAAACGCCCTTCAAATCATGTTTATTGTGTTGCACGAATATGTGACACCTTAAACACATTACATTTACAGTTTGCTTTCCCCCCATGAATAAATGCTGCATCACTTCCATCATATATCAAGTGAGATCAGTGCGTATAGCAAGATGCATCATTTTTGTAGCATATTTCCCTCCGCTTTTACACTTTGCTTGGTAAAATGGTCTTTAAATCAGCAGCATGGACACGCGGGCAGGAAATGTGGCAGTTACTCTCAAACTGACATGAAGGTCAAGGATATTTAGGAGGCTCCAACGACTCTGGATAACTGATGAATTTTAAACAGTTTTGAAGTGGTTACACGCTGTGGAGAAATGCATAAACCAACGCTGTCATTTAAAAAGCAATAAGGGGGCTGTTCAATAAAACAAGAGTTTACAAAATATATACCTAGCTATGCTTGTTAAACAATATTACATGCCCTTTTCCACCTGAACAGCTTGGACTCTTTATAGTTATTGAATAATTATTTGTTATGCCCTGCATTCTCCTGCGAGAGAAAACAAAACCAGCTGTGACTGTATTCTTGGTTCTTTCGGTAAAAATAAAAAAATGTAGCCGTGTTTTTTCACACCTGATGATGATTGCTTGCGTTGCAGTCGAAACGTCGTGAGAATTTTATTGTTTTATATTTTTATTATTTGATTGTTTCCCTTCTACGTGACTTTACCGAAAGAATCAAGACTACGAATCGCTGCAGTCACGAAAGCTTTAAATCAAAATTCAGCTGTGACTGGTGAAACTATATTCATTGAAAGCCACTGCATAATGTGCATCACACATTTAAAGTGCACTGTTCAGTTAATCGGTTCACTACTCATTTGGTTTGCTTTATTACATGTCTCGCTTGAAAGTTTGGGCACTTATGGGCACATGGCATTTATGAAGTGCTTTTAGCTTGTCACAAACATTATCAAACATTCAGCAGAGCAACAGATACATTTTCATGATCACTGGCTGGGAACTGTTCCGTGTGACTGGATTTTGGCCACCTTTGCAATGGAAATAAGTTGATTATTTTTAAGAATCACTCCAAAAGATGCATGTGGCTCAGTTAGGATTTTTTTATATTTATATCTGCAAAATTCAAATGGCCAATGCATTCTCACAAAGGTTAATACAATAGTAAAATAACTTGGCTTAATATGTGGGGATAATGTAGCATTTGTATGATATTTAATCATAGAACAGCACATTAAATTCCTACACCAACAGATCGAGCCATCAGTCAATTCAGCCCAAAATCTACCCTCTGGGATTGGTAAAATAAGAACCACTTTGTAGGAAGTCAACAATGGTTACCCTCTCGATAGTACTGTTAGTTGAGATGAGCATCAGCTAATTTTTACTCGAGTAAAAGGGACACATCAACTTTACAATATATTGTAGACAGCAATTTAACATTAGTGATGAACACTTGAAATCCTTTGCTTCAGTGACTATTATTTACTTTGGATTGCGAGTCAAGAGTCTACCAGTGTGGGCTACAGCTCATAAAATTCGACTGTAAATTCATGAAAAAATTATTAATCAACTTAGAACATTTAATTAAATTAATATTTATTTTTTAATAATACAAGAGTCACGTGTCTCCCAGAATTAGCCATTGCCAAGTTCAAGAAAGCACTTCTCACAACTCTGCACAACTCAGAACAGCGTGCCCATGCTCCCCCACATACCTTTGGTTCATCTGGAATGAACACCGACTTGGCTTGGATGGCCCTGTCCAGACCGCTTTGCCGCACACGCCAGTTGACTGCCGTCACCGTGCCCTGCTCTGTCAGCACGAGCTGAGGCTTGTCAGGCCCACCGGGCCGTAGTGTCGCCACCAGAGAAGTCGCGGCCAACGCCGAGGTGGTGCTGCCAATGCCGCTGCTGCTGCTGCCGCCGGCGCCGGTGCCAAACTGCCTGTCGGACGAGCCGACGGAGGCGCGTGGTAGCGTGGCCATGCCAAAGCTGCTGAGTGCGGGTTTCACATCCTGCGTCATGGCTGCAGACGAGGATAAGAAGGAGGAGGACGATGAGGTGCCCGTGCCGCGGGGGAGCGTGCTGCTGTGGAGGGACCGCTCCGAGGGGTGCGATGCACGAGGGAGGGTTCCGGCCCTGGGCTCTTCAGGGGGAGGGGGAGACTCCAGCTGTTTGTGGCCGAGCGGGAGGAATGGGGGAAGATGACAAATAAAAGTATAAAAAACAAAGCGTATTCGTTGGAAGCACATGTGAACTTTAGTGCTGAATATATCCGTCAACAAAGTTCAGTCACCGGTGACATCATGAGTGTATGAAAAATTATCAAGCGTGATGACGTCTACTACAAATAATCAAATTAACTTGTCTGAATGAAGACCCAAACTAATTTACTTGAACGTTATTAGAGACAGCATTGCCCTGAGGAAGACCAAGAAGAACTCCAGTGGACAGCAGAATTGATGTAGAAAAGTGGTATTTGGCCAAATGTGTACATAAAATATTTACCGAGTTCGCCGATTGGCTCACCAGATAATATTGTGGTGGGGTGGGGGAGGGGGCAATTGTGCACCCCTTACACCAACATTTAATAACTGAGAGTAGATTAAATGATTGACCTCTTTATTCCACTAGACTAAGAGAATTACAACATGAAATCTGTGTATGAAGACTTAACTAATATTCCACAGGTTTTCATTGACTAGGCTAAGACTATGACTCAAAAATAAAATAAAAATGCTGGCTACACTAACAATGGTTTGAAGCAGCTGGGTGGCCCAGGCAGCTTATGTTACACTTGTACCAAGGCACTCGGTCAGTCCCACTGCCCAATTGTGAGTCAATTGCTCAGCCATGCTGTCACCCAGCCAAATTAATTCCTACTGCTACCGTGATGTTTATTCAAAGACACCAGAAATTACTGTTTGAGTCAATTCACCAAAACAAGCTAGTGTAAACCATTGTCAAATCCACATTTAAAAATATATATTTACATAAATTCATAATAATAATAATACATAAGGCCTACTTTCGGTTATTGGGGTCACTTGTCCATACTCCACAATGTGGATTGGGGCACAGAACTTGTTCAGATATCACTCGTCACTGATGTGAGCCACGGTTGTTATTCTGATTCTAACTTCCAAGTATAAAGGGAATCACACTTCTGTTAAACAAGTGGCATCAATCAATCAAGATATTAACACCACGAATCACCTTTGGGAGCTCCCAGACACTGTCCCCCTTGCTCGTGTAGAAGTACACCTTGCCATTTTCATCCATCAACCTCTTCCACTGCACACAAAGTAAACAACAGTCACGCGATTAAAACCAATGGTGCTGGGCCTCACCAGGGTTGACTCAGCCTCAAATGAGTACCTCGATCGGTGTCTAAAAACATCATCAATGGGGAGACAAAGGTGGCCGGGTGTGATGCTGGCCGTGCCGGCCTTCATAGATGCTCGCTAACAGCACCTGCCCCAACAGTCTGTTAAAGCTATATGAGGGATCTTTGTCTTTTTGTGTGTTTGTGAGTCGTGCGAGATGGAACTGCCAGTGTTACCACTCTACCGCAGAGCCCCTTTCCGGAAGCCGGGCAAGAATAATTTCACGAGAGTTTCCACCTAATTGCAGTAGAGCACACGCAACATATATCCCTTTTTAATAGCGTCAAAGGCATAGCCACGCTCGCTCAACAGACACATTCGGGGGCCACGTCTTCAACTCCATTCTAGCCCCACCACCCACTCCAGTCTCATCCACTGTGCAGATTGCCGCACAGCAGAATGTGGTCCTCTAGCGGTGGAGGGAACGCTTGCAAAGTTACAAATCTAGATGACCGGGCACAACGAGCTGAAAATCCATACATAATGGGGTGGGACGATGGGCATAAACCAATAATGAATTGTGCCCTTTCTCTGTTCCTTCATTCCAGCTTCAAGAAGTGACATGAATCGATGACCAATCCACATGGTAAACTTGCTTCACTACAGTGCATCGGTATTTTTCCACTATGAAGAGGAATTTTCTCATCAAAATTCCTAGCCCATTTCGAAATAACCAATAGAGCACAGTGTACCACATGGCTTTGTTGGGATTGTTAGCATGTATTAATACTGCAATACAGCTATTTAATGAAAGCCACACCGTGTTGGCAGCAATGTCCGTGCAGATGTAATCCGTTTATTGCTGCATGCACTATAACTTTGCAGTTCCGTCTCCCAATTGGTTCTCCGTGAAGGTTGTCCTCTTCTGCTGCCATTTTATTGTTTTCTTGTTTTAATGACTCCTTCCTTCCAGTGACTTGTTCTGCTAAATCACAAATGTCTTTTCTGAAGTAAATGTGATGTTTTAGATGGACGTGGTCTCTGACGTAATTGTCTGCGTCAATGAGAAAATTCGAACATTTCCCAAATTTTAGTTTCAAGGTGTTTCAGATGTTCTTCCGGATTTATCATTCGTTAAAACATTCTTCATCTCCATCGCATGGAATGTGCAGAAGAACGTTCAAATTGTCCTCTTTGCGACGGTTCAGTTTTCCTTAACCATTGCATTCTTCCGCGGTCTCTATTTTCTCAATACTCACGTCCAATATTCATGAAAAATTCATCATGGCTCAGAACTCTTTATTTTTTTCAAGAGGACACCATTTAGGATAATAATTCATTGTGCTACTAATTATTTATATTTTGGATATAACCCACACATATCAAGGGGTTGCAATCAAAAATACATACAGGTAGGTCACAGAAACACTCTACATCACGTGAGATATACTGCCCACCTCATATCTTCCCCACAAGTTGGAGTATCACACACGTGACGATCTTTGCTATGCACAGACCTAATTACATTTCAAGTAAGATTTGCACCACAATGCTTGGCGATGTCATCTGTTTGGCTTGAAGTCTTAGAGCACATTTGGCTGCCACCCACAGGACAATATAACAAGGGCTTCGGTGACACACAATACTGTACCACTGCTATGCGTCATATTGGGCATTGTTACCACAACATCAAAATAAGAACACTGCAACCTTTAGTAAACCAGGGCCACTTTACTTGAGCCGAAGTTTGCAAATAAATTATCTTAATAAGGCCCATCTCTCTGCATTTTCACAGTGCTTCTTGTATATGGCCAATATAAACATTAATGGAATGGAAATTCTGTGTAAGAATACCAATGTTTTCATGACACCAGATCAAATGGCAAGGAGTCAGCTTTTGTTGATATTTTTGGTTCCACCCACAGAAAGATATCTTCTATAATTAGTTGCAAATAATCAGATGAAAAGAGTCCACCGCTACACGTATGCAGAGAATATTTTTAGTCTATGAGCCTTGACCTTTAACACCAATATTTTACAGCATAGTTTAAGCAGACCGAGGCTGTACAATATTTCAGTTTCACAGTCCGATCAGCAGGCATACGTTAGACATGCTTTTGTTGTAAGTTTTTTTTTACCGGTTGCAGGTGGTGTTATATATTTATGCACCATATGAATATAGGGGTGACCATAACTGGTTCAGATATTTGTCACCACTCATGTTAGTCATAACTGGATATCAAACTCAGGTTACCGGTTACCTAGTGCAGTGAACTAAAAAAAATATTGACAGCATATAAGTGTATCCTTATGTGGACATCCCATGCTCCTCCTGTACTCAAAATGGCTTGCAAAGCAATGCTGGACTTGTGGTGTCCCCACGCTGCACAAACACTTACATGCCAGGCAGTCCCAATTTAGTACACATACTGTACAAAACTACCGTAGCGTTGGATTGCGAGTTCCAGAATTGGCTTCGTATATTTTCAGTGGTGTTTTTCTTACCTTTCTTTTAGATTTCCTTTCATGTTTTTAATCACATAAATGGGCAATGTAAACAACATTAAAAGCTGTCGATTGGTGAATCGATATAAGAGACGATGCTAATTGTTTTTGTTTTGAAACAGACAAAACCCCTGGGGTTATTGTCAGGAAAAACGCTCATAAATCCAATGCAGCCATACATTCGTGATGATCACTGTACGAGTTGCCATGAACCTGTATTGTTCACAATGTCCATATGTAAAGCTTTGATGTAAATAATACGTCTTATTTTACATGTGTTTAACGTTATGAATGAACGATGATTAAGAGAGGACGCAACACAAACAATTTAATAACTCTTATATATTATACATACTCTTTGGTTCTTTCGGTAAAGTCACGTAGGTATAAAATAAAATAAATCACGACGTTTCGGGCACAACACAAGCGTCCGTCATCAGCTTCAAATCAACATTCTTATATATTACATAAACATAGACCTGGGTTGTGTGCCCAGGTGTGTGTTTATATAATAATAATAGGCAATGTGTACCAAACTCGTTTTTAACAAGTTCAGTGGCATGTGACTTTAAGAAGCACCATCATCATCGGCGCGCTCAAGTAAAGGCACTTGGAGCGGAACCAAAGGGTCACTACTGACGATGCGCTCCCCAAATTTCACCAGGCTCACTGTTCATGAACTCTTGGAAGTGCTTGCACAAAGGATAGTAACATCTCATCCTGTGTTCTTTGGAATCTGAAAAAGCACCCATTGCACACAGTCGTGCCTCAGCCGGGGCACACAGCACGCGGCCGTGTGCATGCCAAGCACCAGCGACGACAAAGCCAGCTGATGTCAGCGTGAACCACGCAACTTCAAACCCGTGATTAGTGGCACTCTGTTCACGGGCAGATTAGAAAGGGGTTTCCCGAGGTGCAACAACAACAGCTGTTTATTTGTAGACCTCAAAGCTGCAACGTTGCCGCTGACGGAAGGTGGTATGGTCAAAAATACAAAAAACATTTGTTTTTTGGATGTCATCTTTCTTGTAATGAGGCCAACTTCTTTGAAAATTAAATTACCTAATCCTTGTGTTTATGAGACGACTTCAACCATTTACACTTCAGTTTATTGACACATCAGGGAAGTAAAGTAACCAATCATACCAGTTTCAGATCATGATCATTTGAATGGCTGTGCATTGTAAACGTGACTTTTTTACTTATTTCAGTGGGACTTGGATATAACTTCCAGTTTCAATGCGGACTGTACACAGTTGTGCCACCTTAATTTAGTCATTGTTGCCCGATTGATCTGTTTACCTTTGCTATAGGTGGCTAACAAGAAGTCGTGACCATAGTAACGTGCGCTGCTAACACATGCTTCACACGAATAACAAATACTGTAAAGCCACACAATGAGAACCATTTCAATCTAGAGAGAACCATTTCATTCAGATACATTATTTGGATGTACGGATTTACTCTCCCACCTGTCATCGAAATAGAATTGATAACAAATAATTGATGAATGTATCCAGAGAATTAAAATAAATTGAAATGGATTACATCGATGCATCGTTACATGTCTATATATACTTCTGCCAAATATCGCACCACCAGATATTCGGCGGGATGCTGCAACAATCCGTCAACCGAACCATTCACAAGCTGACCAAACCTGCCAATATGTATTTCTTTCGTACGGCTGATGTAGATGCAGAGCAACAATTACAATTTCACATTTAGGTGGTGAAGCTAGATAACCATGTCAGGAGCAGCAGAGTGCATCGCTGTGATGTCTCCTTCGTATTTGTGGAACCTGCCAATCAACGATGATCTGAACAAATTCCTCATTCCACAGCAAAAAAAAATGTCTGGGTAAAGCAAACTTCAGCATCAAAACAGCGTGGATCGATTCGTGGGCTTCAAGCAATGTGTTCAACAAACACCTGGCCAGTGAGTCCACCACGACCACACTGGCGGCTTCCACCTTCCATGGAAACAATCGACATGAGTATTGCAGTCTGCGGTCGCGAGGAGGTTTTGTTCATATGGTTTGAATTACAATATAAATAGTTCCCAAATGTGCATGAGAGAAATAAGCCACACGCGTAAAATATATCCTAGAATTCCTGAATGTTGGAAACCTTTCTTTATGCAAGCAAGCACAAACTGCTAATAATAAGACTTCTCATGCCAACATTTCACCCTCCTTTAACACAAGTAATTATGATTATAACCGCCTCCATAACTTTGAATGTTTTTTGATGGGTAGGAATGGAGAGTCACCTTGTCAGGGCTGGCCAGGTGGGTGAAGCTGATCTCTCCCTTCGCGTCCATCTCCTCTTGCCAGCCAGGTGGCAGGATGGCCTGGGGCGCCGCTGCGAGGCTCGACTGTGACGGGCTGTAGTCTGGCGGGGGCGTCGGAGGCTGCAGAACAGCAGAAAGAAATCAACACACATTAAGCAACGCAGGGCAGTACATTTCATCATCACCACCATCATCATCGAGTCATTATTAATTGACCGCCGGATGCATGCCTCCTCAGAAATCCATTTAGCTCCTGAACAAGAGCTTGTGTCATTGCTCCATCTCTATGGTGGACATCCTCTCAGGTGCTCCTTTGGCTACCATTCTGAAGGTTAGCTTGGACCAGCCGACATCTCTTCTTTTGACGCATCCGAACCTAGTGATCAAACTAATGTTATCCACATTATTGTCTGCTTTTTAATTTTAATGGGTCTGCATACAACCATTTTGCTGCTTAAAAATACACATTATGAAGAAATTATGAGTCACAAATTAAAGTTTCCCTATTGCAATGAAGATTGTACCTATATGAATAAAAAAACACAGCATTTACATATTCACCAAATGACTCAAAGCCACAGATTGCAATTTAAAATCCAATTTTGCCACTGGTTATCAGATCTATTAATGTTCTATTCAGTAAAGGTCTCTGCTCCTTCCCACAAAGATCTAAACCACAGTCGTATTTAATTCCAATTCCTCTCTTCTACATGCCACGTTAAACAGGTGTAATCTACTCGCATCTCAGGCTCCCTCTCCCTTACCCCCATACAGACACCAGGGTGCACAGACGTTTACTAATTTGTCTGGTATACTGGAGGTCATGGATTCGATCCTGACCCTGACGCCTATATATATTTTGGGTTTGCATGTTCTCCCCGTGGTCACGTGGATTTTTCTCTGGATCCTTTGGTTTTTCCATCCACATTCAGAAACACGCGTCTAGAGTACTTGGCTGCTGCTATAAATTTCCACGTGATAAGCCACTTCGTTGAGCCATCATTCTTGGCCAGGTCGCTTCTGAAAAAAAACTATAAAGCTCAGTGGGCCTTGCCTGGTAAAATTAAAAAAAAAAAGTTTAGTTTAAACAGTGTATAGTTCACTCGTCATGCAATAAATCTCTTTGCTAATCAATTTGGATCTATTGTAATTACATGGTCCTATCAGTTTACGTCTTGTTCGATATACACTTCTAAACATGTGTGTACCATACTGCATATGCTTGGTTTTGAATCACATGAACCAAATCTTTCCTATTTTTTAACAGCCCTCTGTCAAGCCGCTGCTGGATGAAGGCCTATGCATGCTTTTGTCAGTCACAGGGGGTTCGACCATATTTCACCACACTAGTCACTGCGGGTGGGTGTAGGGGGCTCAGTTCAGATATCACTCACCAATGATGTTAGCCATGACCAGGAATCAAACTTAAGTGGCCGGACTGCACCACCGCTGTACCCCCACTCCTATATTTTATGCACTCGTTATTGTGCTTGGTTTACATTTCGTTTGTGTTGCTATTACTGTTTATCTGCAAATAATTTCCAGCCTCAATTTGCATGCTTAATTCGACCAAATCAAGAGTGTGAGTGTCCTCGTTCAAACCAGTACGGGGCAGTGTTTATACGCATTTCTTGCCCATACAATTGGGGCCAGTTTCTCCATAAGCCAACTACTGCACATCGCATCAACTTTAAAGAGATAAAACCCGAGTTGACAACCCCACCTGTCAATCGTAAGACACGCACTCTACTAAAAGCATTACATGGCTCAATATAGTTTGACAAAGTACTTCCAGCATTGTCATTGCAGATTGTTATACATGTGCAAAAATTTTTTTCCGTCAAATGTCCTGTCAAAAACGAATAGGATATTCCTGAAATCATGATCAGATGTGTCAAGTGGGTAATATTGTTATCAGAACAATGAGCCAGCACCACCAAGAGGCTGAGTTCAACTCTGGGTGCAGGTGCCCGCGATGAAAACGGGTTCTCAAGTGTAGTGAATCAATGGGCCGATTACCCTGACTTGAGCTGAAATTGCACCAACTCTCTGAAAAAATCCCCATTCATTCACTAGACACAGCAGCAAAAGGGTATACTCCGCAAAATCAGTTTTATTCTGTAGGGAGCCCACTGCCTTTAACGCAATCGTTTTCAGCCCGTAAATGTAACCGCTCTCACCCGTAAAGCTCTTAGGATTTCTCCAGAGAGTATACATCCTCCAACAAATCACCACGTCTGCTTCCCGCTATTTTCCCACACGTTAACAATGCCCCCCAACCGCCACGGAGGAGGAGGTGCCTCATCGGCGCATTTGAGTTTTCATAGACGCCCCAGATGGGCCGACAGACGCGGGCGCAATGCGCACTTTCACGTCATTTAAAAAACAAAAAAGCCGGAGGTGGGTGGAGGGGGGGCATCAGGGAGGGATGGGGGGGGGGGCAAGGAAAGCTGGGGAGAGGGAGGCCTGAAAAATGCACCCCTTCTTGCGTTTCCTCTGCCTGAGTTCCTGCCATTGTTACCAGCCAAGGCTTTGGAGCAGACGCAGAGCGGCTGGTCGACCAATTGAATTGATGTGCCACAATGGAACGTGCAGCACGCGGTCATGTGGACAAAAATAATGACCCTCAACCGTTGAGTTGAGAAGAAAAACCGAGGATTTCAGTGACAGTTCTAAACACTGTAATAATAATGATAACAATAAAACATGTTACGGTTTTCAATGTAAAAAAAATACCAATTGTGTTGATTTGAAGCTTTCCCGCCTGCAGGAATCCATACTCTTTGGTTCTTTCGGTAAAGTCACGTAGGTATAAAATAAAATAAATCACGACATTTCGGGCGCAACACAAGCGTCCGTCATCAGGTGGGAAAACATGGTCTGCTGCTGAGGCAGACTGTTTTTAAAAGGTTTGAAATGGGTGTAGCCCAAGGGTCATAAAGAAGTGGCCGGGGCTAGTGATGTTAATGTGAGAAATTAGCATGTAGCTGTAAGATAGGAGAGCGGCCTCGACGAGGACAACCTTCTGAGGATCCAACCAAAACCATCACTTTACCATACATAGCAGGGGGTTACCAAAGAGATTTCCAAAATCTTAAACAAACACAAGATCCAGGTTCGTTTCAACACATTACACGAAATCTGCATTTATTTAGCGCATACGAGGGATGTGTTGTGGATTTTATGATTATTCTGAGTATTTAGCATAAATATTACAGTTTGGACGATCTGAATTTTTTTTAGCTTTGGATTGAGCCCAAAAAACGACGCCACTTCCGTGCTCTTCCAGTCAAAAGTAATCGTCGTGATGTCATTATTATTAGTATGCACACATATAGAAATTAGTGCACATTATAAATGATTTTAAACATTTAAAAAAGCATTGTCAAATTGTCCTTAGAAACCCGATGTTCTTTGAATCCAATGGTCATCCCTAGTGCCTATAAAATGAACACGTAATCATTTTCTTAGGTAATACTGTGTATTCAACAACAGTTGCATCAAGAGCAGCACGCAATGCAATTGATGTAAAATGTTAGCACGGCATTATCATGTCTATTGTTCCTTCGGAGCGCACACGTAGCGACCTCTGAGGGACATTGAGTGAGTCGACATTAGATTAGCATTGGAACTATGCAACCTTCTGATTGTGAATAGGGCACCCTTGCCATTGCAGATGATAAATGAGTAAAAGCATGTACGCACGTGACTTTGAATGGCACCACGTAAATGATTGCAGAAGCTAAATGTCTCCGAGATGAATAGATACACATATCTCTGGGTAAAACTGTCAGAAGCCAATGTAGTACTGGGGGTTTTGAATGCCACCATGCCATTCATTGTCGAATTTCATTCATTACTGTATTATACAATTTGCACACACATGTATATATGTGTTTGCTTTGGTAGAATCTAATCAATATGAATGCACGCGCATATATGATACAATAAATCCTCTGCGAAAGTGTATACCTCGAGTGATCCTCAACGCTCCTTAGGAGAAAACAATGTCCTAAATTTGGTATTAACAATAAAGCTTTCATAATCGTCGGTAACCAAAACAGGAAACATTGGTGGTTGTTTAACATGCACATATATGAATGTTTCAATTGCAGTTCAAAAGTCAAAGTTTCTAACTGCTCAAACATGCAATGGGGTCGGTGGTGCCCATCTGTGTTGATGGCCCAAAGCCAGGAGTGAAAATAGCAGTTCCATTATGAAGGCCATTCTCCCTCTCTCTCTCTCTCCCTTTGCACAGGAAGACAACCGCAGTTGACTTCCCACCAAGTGGGGGGCTTATTTGTTTTTCAGCACAGTGGAATATGTTAGGCTGCAGCCCAGCAAGTCAATGCATTGTTGCAATTCAAGGATGAGATTTGATTCGAGGATCAATATTTTCATCGCCTTTACCGTCTTTATAAAATCTTGATAAGATAAGAATGTGAGATCATTGTCATTCAGTTTAAAAAGAAAAATCTTAATCCCTACAGAAACTTGTAATTATGTGCACGTATCACGAGCCTTAACATTGGTATGAATCAATTAACTGATGTATGCTGCAGCCATAGTTATTAGCGCCACATTATTCTCAAAACTAGCTTTGCATGTGCATCATACGCAATGCTGATCCACGTGTATTTATGTATACTCGGCATCGTAACAGTATGCAGCACAAGTGATTAAAAAACAATGATATAATTACATGTTAAGAGCACATCTTTGCCAACATGCTCATTATACTGTTCACTGCTGTAATGTGGCCAAAACAAAATGGAGTGCAGCAACACAAATGGCGCATAATTAGTGCCTTGAGGAAATAAGCAGAGATGAAATCCAAACACAAAACATCTTCGGATGATCATCTTCAGGGTTTGTTTGGCAGTAACGCAATTTCACTGCTGTTCGAAGTCAACAGAAGTCTCATTTTTATTCTTGGTTTTTTCGGTAAAGTCACGTAGAAGGGAAACAATAAATCATAAAAATATAAAACAATCAAATTCTCACGACGTTTCGATTGCAACACAAGCAATCATCATCAGGTGTGAAAAGCACAGCAAGAAAATTTGTGGTTTTCACACCTGATGATGATTGCTTGTGTTGCAATCTAAACGTCGTGATAATTTTATTGTTTTATATTTTTATTATTTTATTGTTTCCCTTCTACGTGACTTTACCGAAAGAACCAAGAATATGAATCCCTGCGGTCACAAAAGTTTTAAATAAAAAAATAGAAGTCTCATTGTTCAACGAATTAATGAATTATATCAAACGGTTACAATTAAATTTGTCAAACGTTCAATTGCCACGCATTAAACAAGAATATTTTAACAGTAATCACATGCTTGTACAGTACTCGTAATTATAATCGGCATTTGCAGGGATGAATATTTTAAGCAGACTATAAAGTCAAGCCTTGGTGGTCTCAAAAGTTCTCACTGTGAAGCCACGCACTCTTCTCTCAACACCACCGCTAAACACCTCCCCCTCCCCTCAGCAATAGAACGATATTTCATCTGCGTTCCAGCTTTTTTTTTCAAATAAAAAAAACACTTTGTAAACGTAAAAATAATCAACTGTAAATTACTGTCACTTAGCGGGTAATTATCGGGTAATTCCACTACAAATGGCCTAATTCTACATCTTAATTTTTTGCAAAAAAACCCATCAAACTTGCAGATTTTATGAAAGTTCTGCCATCTGTATAAAATACCATGGCAATATTATTATTTAGATGTAGATAATTTGGAGGGATGTGTGTGTGCACTCACACACTCGCTAACAGCATTTGCTGTGACAGTCTGCGAGGCTAAACTGTGAGATCTCTGCGTGTACCATGTGGAATTATGTCCAAGTCACAGTCAGAGTTCTTAATACTCAAATGAGCAATAGGTAAACACGTGTCTGCAATGGTCACCCTGATTCTGCATTTGCAGAGATCTGCATTTGCAGAATACGGCCACCAGTGTCTCTACAGCAAGACATATGCGCCATAGGCTGGACACCTATTAGTACGTGACATGATGAATATAAATGTGGCTAAAGTCAACAACGCTATAAACGATGGGATCCACCTTCAGTTTTGTTGTGCGTGGGTTTCCATATCTCACCCTGGCTCGTCGAGGGGGTTTCCAGCTCATCTCGCCGGAGAGCGAGTTCCGGTAGAAGAAGCGATTGGAGCTCTCGTCCAGATGAGTCTCCCATGAATCCTCGGAGGTGACAATGGGTTCCCCCGTTGGCGTGGGTGGGAAATCGGTGCCCTGGACCTGCTTCAGCTCCTCCAGGTTGGCGTAGACGGGCGAGGAGGAGCGTGCTGTCACGGCCAGCGGGGAAATGGGAAGCGGGGATGGGGACTGCAGGCACAGGAGAGAAGTACATGGCACAGAGTTAGAGCAACATGGCCTACTGGAAGAGGAGACTCATTGTGAATCACGATGTAAAGTGTGTAATGTGTGTGCTATGGGTGCTGTGATATACATTGGTGTGATTAGGTACTTCATAAAAGGACAATGATAAGGATGATTTAAATGAATGTTTCACAGTGAATTGTATTTAATAATTTGAATTTCAGGTGAGTGTCCATTTATATAGAATGACTCTTATTTCATGTGATAAGAGAATGCCAGGTATAAGGCACAAATAACACTCGCGTCACTCACGTGCTAGATATTCGTAAGTCTCTCTTGGCCCGAGAATAACTCAAATCATCCTGAATTTACCCAGATCTTTCTCACATCTCATAAACCAAGCAGTGTTTAGTCTACTTCGTACTTGGATGAGGGATTGCCTTGAAATCCTAGCTGTTGTTGAGGCTTGAGCTGTGTGTTTCCAGTACAGCCAATAAATGTTCAACCTATCTGTACAGAGCTGTGAGTGTTATGCCTTCATATGCGTGGTAGATTTTAGTTTCCGCCTAGATGCCTAACAGTCATTTAGAGCATTGGCCATACTTGTTGAAAAAATTATTTTGAGAGTTAGTGAGGCTTTCTCGAGTAAGTAATTGCATTAATATTAGAGGAACAATGGTGCAATGGTTAGCACATTGTGCAATGAACTCAGAGACCTACGTTCAATTCCAAGCCACGGCTAACATCAGCAACGAATGATGTTTGAAACGGCCCTGGGCCCCCTGTTCGCCAACCCACACTGACCAGCCTAGTGAAGTAAGGTAAAACAACTCTGATGATTAACAGCGTGTGGAGGCCCTTATCCAGCAATGGATTGACAAAGAGCTGTAAATCATTATTATTAGAAAGAGATCATGGATCTGACCCAGCACTCAATACATCAATAAAGAACATTTAATTGAATTATGCTGTTCAGCCTTCAGGGTCTCCTTTTGTGCAAATAGTTCGCTTTGGTTATTCTCCCAGCATTACTGGGCAACTGCACGAGTTGAGTCATCCACCACGTGCAAAGCGTTGGATGTCAAATAGGGGTGTAGCGATTCACTCCCTCATAGCCGTGATTCAAATCATGAACCAATTCTTTTTTAAATATATATTGTGATGACTGTGAAGAACTCAAGTAACTGGAGGGATCATTACATGACCCCTGTAGCCATTAGAGGTATGCATCATTGGCTAAATAATGTATATTAAAACAGATGAATGGACATTATCGTGACAAACCTCAAGATAAGTGCAATAAACATTACACTATCCAATCAGGCTGTGAATTTCTGTTTTGCTGTGCAATGTGAAGCACATCTCTTGCACTTCACCATTTGTTAATATAGACTGCATCCCCGCTTTTCAACCATTATTTGATTTATTTAAGCATTATTATCATTGTTATATTTCACAACAAATGTTGTCTTATGGCTCAATATTAATTGGTTTACGTGAGCAGATTGTGCTTTCCGCAATGGAGGTAGCAATCCAACCTCTGTCTTTATCCCCTCATTTGCTTTCAGCTTTTTATTTAGTACATCAACCACCCCTCTTGACTCTGGCTTCAACAATCACCTGTGGTCTTATGTGAAAGGTGCACATTTTTTAAAGCAGAATGCTTCCCAGGCAGGTAGTGATATTTAATTGCGCAAATTGTTTTAAATGCATGACCATCAACCAGTGTATATGGCCTGCCACTAAACGTGCAAGAAAAAAAAACATATGGAGCAAAAAAAACACTCAAAAGCACGCAACAATGAATGGGGAGATGGATGCTCGGAATTACATTGAGAGATAGAAAGAGGAACACGTGGATTAAGAAACAAAGATCAGACATCACATTGCTGAGTAAAGCGGAATTGGGCAGGAAACATCGCTATAAGCACTGATGGCCAATGGATGAGACTTGTATAAGAATGGCAGCCAACGGAAAAAAAAATCCTGACGGAATGCACCTCAAGAGGATGACCACTGCAAAGATGGCATGATGAGTTCAGTTCCTATACAGGGGCGACGTGGTTTCTAGCATCGCAGGATAATGTGACTTGGCAAATGTGTAGGGAGGCCTTCATCCATGGCTGATGGTGATGACAAAAAAAATATCGATTGCCCAGACACTTTTTATTTACTGCACACAGCCACTGTATACTGTGTTTCAATCCACATTTTCTGCATTTATTGTATACAACATACTTTGCACATTCTAAATCAGACATGAGCAACTTTAGACCCCTAAGAGAGGTTTCAAATTTTCCATGTTAATAGACACTATTTATCTCTGAAATTACTGGCAAGCATTGATATATATATATGCGGACTATAAACATCTTTTGATAGAAAAATAATCCAAACAAATAGCATATTACTTCTGTCTGTATAGTTTTTAAAGCAATGTTGAATTGTCATGGTTTGTGTGATCAAAAGACAACAGGCTACGTAAAACACCCCATTATTTGTCACCAGAATAAAACAATATTATACATTCTTGCTATTTTTTTTCTAAATGTTACATTTTAATACGTACATAAAATCCGCTTATATTCTTTTTAAAGCAGTGTTGAATTGTCATGGTTTGTGTGATCAAAAGACAACAGGTTACGTAAAACACCCCATTATTTGTAACCAGAATAAAACAATATTTTCACATTCTTGCCATTAAAAAAAAAATACATTTTAATACGTACATAAAATCCGCTTATATTCTTAATGCGAAACGCATAAATACAAATTTGACATTTGGCCTTACTTTTAAAACATTGCATGGAAAGGAGGTTTGTGTACCCCTCACTATCACTGTGATAGTCCACTGCTGATTAAATTCATGTGGTCTATACATTAAAATGATTATCCAAAATGCCCTTGTCAGTTTCATCTTCACCCAAATTAATGAGACCTCATTACCACCAAAAATGTGTCTTCCCACTGGCTTCCAATACAATCGCGGTTCAATTTCAAAATCGCAATCATCTTCTTTAAGATCACCTATGGACTTCTGGCCCGCCTACATTCTTCTCTCTCATCTCACATTACCCCTTGATTGACGGACCCTCTGCTGAAAGTCTACCTTTACTCAGCGCGAGGTCAATCATTCTCCTCTGCTGCCCTCGCGCACCCGGTACGTTCCTTCCATCTGCCATCCATGCTGTCAACTCTCTGCCCCTTTCCGTTCAAGCTCAAGACCTTCTGTTTTTTTCTTCTGACTGTTTATGGAGGTGCCACGGTGGCGAAATGTTAACTACCTCGAATGGTATACAAGAAGTCATGGGTTCAATCCTGAAGCCTGTATATTTGGAGTTTTCATAAAACATGGTACCGTTTAAAAAAATTAAAAATACCAATTGTGTTACTTGCGATGCACTAATGAACTGCTAAAAACGCATAATATTATACAAAAAGTTTAACTTAATTTATGTATAAATGATATCCAGAATACACACTATAGAAAAAACTCGGTTTGGCATAAATGACACGACTGCATTCATTAACATGGCTGCATTCCTGGATGTCCCTTGTTCATTAAAAATAAATTGTAAATTAATGATAAACTGACGTAAGGAGCTAATGTATACTACACCCTCGCACCAACTGTGTATTTATACAGACTGTCCACAAAGTCCAAATACACTTTACATTGGATAACACTCCTCTGATTGGGCCGCCATGGTGGCGAGATGTTAACTATGTCGCTAGGTATACAGGAGGTCGTGTGTTCGATCCCGACCCCGACGCCTGTATATTTAGAGTTTGCGAATTTCTCTCCCCATGGTTGCGTGGATTTTTCTCCGCGTCGTCCGGTTTTTCCCTCGATATTTAGAAGCATCTGTTTAAAGTATTCGGCTGCGAGACATTTCCACGTGATAAGCCACTTCGCTGAGCTATCATTTGTGGCCAGGCCACTTCTGAAAAAAGGCTAACATAGCCCAGTGGGCCTGACCTGGTAAAAAAAATGTTTGCTAGTTTAGTAGGTTTAATAAAATAAATATTCCCACGGTTCATGCAATTGGAGCAATTAGAGTTCCTGTTCCTTGTGAAGGTCACAATGTGAACAGATTCTGTTACCATAACACAGCACTGGAATCTTCAAAACAAGCAAAGGCAGGAGGATACTCAGGATGGGGAGACACCTGCCTTACAATGCAGCCACATTTCTCAAATTCCACTCCAAAACAGCCTTATTTTACACCAAGCAGTTACGATTGTTCCAAAGTTGGCTTAATAATGGCAGAGGCGATTGAAATTAGAGTGGAAAAGCCATTGAATGTGTATGTAATTGGATTGAAAGAACACTCATTACCTGTTAGATGGTGTACACATTGGGTATACCCTTTCAAAAGTGTTTCCTGCTTTGGTGAAGGATTGAGTATTTTCACTGCGGTGTTTGTCAATTATTTTGTTTATCCATTTAAAAGCTTAGATACATACTTATGGTGCAACCTATACACCATCATCAATTAATTTAGATATGGCAGTGTTTTCAGACAGTAACATTTCCTTTAAGAATTGTTATTGCTCTCATTGATAAACTTTTTTTTAATCAGGTATGATAACATCTTTAAATCCTGTAACGTACATTAAAACATCAATACGAGTATTGTAAAGCAGCCTTAATTAAATATCTACGGCACTACTTCAACACACACGGTCCCATACAGGAAGCATGGCTGTGTAAAAAGTAGTTACGCATTTAAACCTTAGCTCGCGGCATGACTGCCAGATACAAAAAAAATCCACGTACAAGACTTAAGACAGCAGCCTACATCATACTCATCATTGTTACATCGATTTCCATGAACAAACATCTTGTCACCACCAAAGTTCCCGGGTCTCTTAAACCGATACGAATAATTTACAAGCGATATTTCTCCCGAAAGAGAATAATAACTTTTACATAAAGAAACTGCTCACAGCCAAAAGTAGTTGTGCAGTGTCGCCCGGGCGTTCTGGCAGGAACAAGTTACGGA